CCTCTGCAATTTCGCCAGCGACTTGGATATCTCACGACAACATCGAAAGGATGGACAAGGAACCAGCTTCCGGTATCAAGATCACGGATAACAAGCGCTCGACTTGTATATCATGCACGCAAGGAAAAAAGACGAAGAATGTTCAGTTGCGGAATGACACTGGCACGATCTCGCCCGTCGACCAGATTGGTAGATTAGTTGCTACTTTTTGGAGGAACTGATGACGCCGAAGGACCAGATCGGCAATCGCTATCTTGTAAACTTCGTAGATCACAAATTTAACGACTGTAGCGTTTTTATGGCGCCTAAGAAGGACAAAACTGCAAAGAAATTTTAGCGTTTTATGGACTTTTCGAGCGCTAGTTTAAGTGTAGCATTCATGTGCTTCAAACAGACAGGGGTAATGAGTACGCTAGGCTGACCTGTTCTGCAAGCCGACAGGAGTTGTGCAGCACATCAGGGAGCCAAGAACTTAAGCGTCGGAAGGACAGTCGGAACGCATGCACAGAACGGTGCCAAGCATGGCTCGCAGCACGAGTTCTTCCAGTCGTCTTCTTGTTTCATTGTAAGGGGCGCCATCGAACATGCTGCGTGAATACCCAACCACAGCCCATCTAGTGCAAATGCAAAGCGCGCGTCGCACATGGACGTCCTAATCAAGCATAATAGCGATCTGCCTTATATCGTCACTTTTGGATCAATCTAAATGGTTAGCCGGGATCAGGATAGGAATTAGTTGGCTCAACGGGCGCAAGTTGGAGCTAATATTGGCCGTAGTGATGAGGCGAAAGGGTTTAAGGTATTTGTACAAAAGTAAAACAAGTTCACGGTCACACAGAACGTCCGAATAATTAAAACGTTCAACGAGAAGAGAATCAGTCAGTTTAACGTACACCTGAGTTTAAAGATCAGGCGAACGTGGCCGACGCACTAAGTACAGTTGCCACTGTTCCTGGCGCCGTGCCTTTAACAGAGGCTGTTGCTAGGGATGAGGCATCTGCACGGAGAGTTCGGGTTGTGAGAAAGACATCGAAGTCATGGATGTTTGAAGCATACAGGCCGAAAAGTGCAACGAAGCGCGCGAAGAAATCAGGTATTAAGGAGGAGTCAGCTCAAGAAGAAGTTGTGTAACACGCAAGTGTGGTAGCGCATATGTACGAGCACAACCCCAAGAACTATGGGAAGCGACGCGCAGCGCATTAAAAAAGGTCTGGTAGAAGTCAATGCAAGAGAAATACAAGCTCTAGAATAAAATAGCGCGTGGCGCCTGATTAAGAAGATTAAAGGAAGCAGCACGCTTCAACGAAGTGTTTTACAGGACCAATACTAATTCTTACAACCTCTTCGAGTCTGCATGAAAAAGTGTGGCGTGTTGCAACGTACTAATTTTTTAGAAGCTGACTACTAACTCACCTCGCAGCCGTCATGGATATGTCGACGGTGAAGGTTAATTCTGGCGCTTGCGGCAATCTGGGGAGTGCCGGCGAATCATGGAGACATCCTCAACGCCTACTTCAAAGATGAAAAGGAAGAAACTTGGAGATCTTCCTGTATGTTCCCCAGGTGATGGACGTAAGCGAGGACAAGCCCACGACACTCGGCGCTGCGCACAAGATGGATGTCGTGCTTCAGCTGCGTAAAAGCCAGTATGTCTTTATCAGGTCGGGCGGCTTTAATCAAGCTCTTGCACGCTCAATTTCTTAACGCTGGCTTTATCCAGTGTATCTCGGACTTGTGTCTCTACTGGAAGATCGATGATGGCCAGCCGGTCGTTGTGGGTGTGTACGTAGACGACCTACTAATCACTGGTTCCAACATAGCTGCTGTCGACCGTTTCACACCCATAGTTGAAAGCCTGTCCATCAAGGGCCTCGGCATCGTCAGCAAGTTCCTTGGGATGCGCGTTGTGATAGACGACGACAGCAGCTACGTGCTAGGACTAGTCGGAAAGCATTGGCGAGCTGTTGCGCGAGCATAAACTTGGGATCTCCAAGTCGACTCGAAGCCCCGATCAGGAAAGACTGCATAAAAGCGTATCCAGAATGCTGTAAGCTCCTGGGTGCGAGCTGGGGAAGACGGGGGTCCGAGCATAAAAACTCTTTATCCCATGTCGGAACATATCTTTGGTTGTCGCGCTGCAAGCGGATGAACATCGCGTAAGCCATGCATAAAGCAACGCGCCAGACCCATCAGCCACGACTGCACGACCTCAAACTCGCAAAACGGATCGCGCGTCCCCTATCAGGGCACGCGAGCTCAAGCTGCGCATGAAGCCGACGAAGATTTCCGATGACAATCTGCAGCATGAGTCCTACTCGGACGCCGAATTAGCCGATTAAAATTCGGGGAGCGTGTCCTTGACTGGAGGCATCATACGGCTGAACGGGATGCCGGTGAGCTAGGTGGCGAACAAACAGGGTGTAGTCACGCTTTTCACGGGGTTTGTGGCCGCGTCGGAGCAAGCGCTCGAGCTGCTCGGTATCAGGGAGATGCTGTGCAAATTCGGAACGCAATCTGTGCTTTCGATGCCACTTCAATTCAACAACCAAGCAGCGCTGTAGCAGTTGGATGGCAAGGCATCGCTGTTGCAGGCGAAGCACATCGACGTTCGCCTAAATTTCTTCTGCGACTACGCCCGACGTGGTGTATTCGCGGCCCAGTACGTGCGCTTGGAGCTGCAACTGGTGTACCTATTGACGAAGGCCCTGCTCACGGCAAATCTTGCAAAATTGTGCAGTTTGCTGCGACTGGAGTCAACATGCAGACATCATGGGCGAGGAGGAGCGTTGAAAGTGTGTGTTAAACAAGAATGTCGCTGTAAGTCGTAAAGACGATTGCAGGCGAGGCGCGCTAGACGATGCTGGGAATGGCGGCCGCTAACTTTGTGTTCGTAATAGGCATATGTTGTGCGACACGATATGCGAGACTTGAAATGGGTGGATAAAAAGGATATTACTCGAGTGGGCAGGAAGAATGGTGAGGGAAAAGTAGGTAGAGGAACAACGAAGACAACTGATAGGATCTTCTTACTACAGTGATTTGCATTGATCCTCTAACGATATGAATATCGAACATCGTTCATCCGAGCACCCGAGATGTCGCAGATATTTGACTACCGTTCGTTACGAGAAAAACGTGCATGACTCTATATTATGATGGGAGATAATCATTTTATCCAGCGAAGACTTGGCATTAGACATATGGCACTTAGTAAACGTGTCTATGAAGTGTCTAGATACAGATAACTGGATGCAGGCGAAAAAGTACAGCAGCAGATCTTTCATGAGGTGAAGAAACGTTTGGACAATTAAAGCCTTAATTTCCATTCCACGACGTCACAGCAGTCAGCATGTTGCAAGAGCGACAATAAAATTATACAATTTTCTGCAACGGGGCACCCTTTGTTTGGGGTGCCACGAAACTTCACGTATACCAGTACGTGCAGAGGAAACTAATCTACTCATCAACTATGTTGAGTAAAGGGTAAAAAGAGAGCTGTATTTAACATGGTTAAGCTATCAAGATAACTTCAGTCTCTATCTAACTACATTAATCTACATTGTCGTGTGACGACAACCTGCTCACCACTCATTACGCGCGTCTAGCAGCGATTGGTGGCAATCTATGGTCGATTTGTCTTTTACCAACCAATCTTTGAGCAGCGCATGAAAATTATCCTACAACGGGAAAATATTCCTTCAATATTATCCATCTCGAATAATATTATCACGGTAGACAATATCCCTATTGACACCGTTTGATGTCAATAGCATGTAACGGGCTACCCCGCTACATTTTCAATGAAATACAGAGTTCTAGCTGCTTTGTACCGCGCTCAACGATGGCAAAAAAAGTCATGTAGACGATGCCATTTTGGTATTCGAGGTTTGCACCTACAACTTTTTCTTGCACGATTGAAGAAGTTGGGCGCGTCGTTGAAATCGTTTAGTAGATACTGCGACGCAACCTTCTTTTCATCACGTCCTCTATATGATCAATTTAATGCCATTTGTAACGGGGCACCCTGAAGCTTGTACTGGTGACAGTACAAGCTACTTATTCTGATGACAGAATAAGGCGGTGCCTCGTAACTTCACGTACACTCGTACGTGCAGAGGAAGACGGTAAGAAGAAGCGAGTACTTGGTCAGAGTAAAAAGTAGAACTGTATTTATAATAGTTAATGTCTGCAATAAATCACTATTTATCCTCATCTAACTATGTCTGAATACAAATTTGTCTATCAACTATCTGCTCACCACTTATTGCGTGCGTCTGTCGTGGCGCGTCTTCGTTGGTTGATATAATGGCCTATATCAACCAATTAGGAACTACTCGTAAGTGCTACAGAATATTTGTCCTTATGACAACATCTTGAGAATATAACTCTTATAGTAATATTCGATTAACAATTTCTTATAAATTGTTATGTAACGATTCACCCCGATGCACCATTGATATAGACGTTCACGCCCGATTCCAAAGGCAATTGGATACCTAAGATGGGAGCTGTTGCCGTACTGCTAAAAAAACTGTTGAGCCAAACGTGGTCGTTTTCGTTCTGTATATCTAGACGAGGTTGTTGCTGCCGTGTTCAGAGGACTAGGTCATAACGGAGAACTCCGTTGCTGAGACGGAGCAGCGATGACTGGTGTTAATGACGTTTATCATCACGATCGTACTTTGTGCACGTCATACTGCACTGAAATAAAAGTCAGAGCTAATACCTGATCGATACTCAACTACGTCTGATGGAACCTCTTGGCATTTTCAACATGTCAGTACCCCGGTCCCAGAGCAGCCGGACGACTGCATCTATATGACGCCTTTATAAAGTCGCCAGCATGCTAGATGAATGTCACCCGACTATAAAGTGGCATCAATTGTCCCAGACAGATGCGCGACACCAAACCAAGTCAGGAAACTCCATTCATGACCAACGCAGACTTGACATTTCCAAAAGCCAAGTCTCAAGTGCAACCAGCCGGTCATCCATTCAACCTACGTCCTCGATCCAAAGACGACGTTCGATCCCATCAAATTCAAGTGCGCTCCCATATTCTCGTGCCACATCGTCCCCACGCAGTTTCCGTCCGCTCCTTTCCCATCAAGCGCCACCCACCTCCTCAACCACAGTCCAACTGCAAGTGCGCTGCCATATCGCACACGAAACCCTCTGGCGACCAAAATCGCCATTAAAAAGTTGCCAACCAACCGTCGAAATCGAAGACACCAAAGGAAACGGATGCTCAACGTCATTGCCACCAAAACGAAAGCCCATGCCCGCCACTTGATCCTCGCACTCCGTCACTTTGACATTTGCAGCTTCGCGCGCACTTGCATCGACTCCGCAATACAAACGCTTGAGCTCGAGCAAGCCAATGAAGCTGTCGACTCGCACGTCGATCGCTCCGTGGATGGCGTCCACAGTCGTCACTATCGTCCTCTTCTCCATTTCAAGCGTCCAAGGTGAACCAATCTCCGAGACCGTCGTGACGCCACTGGGAGACGCTACGGCCACGTTGACGCACCGTCATCCAGCTTTCGAAGGATGGCAAACATACGCAGCTGTGGACTCCATAAAATCCACGGCGCCAAGCGTTTTCATGACCGCTCGTCACTTGGAACCCGAGCGCTCGGACGTCGCACGCCTCGAAGCGTTCTTTGGCACGACCATGGAAAGGAACTACAACGTCTTGAACGACTTGTACCCTCGAGCCGTGAGCGACGAGCTGCCGTGGTCTGGAGACAATTGGCCCACGTACAAGGACGGGATCAACGCAGTCTGGAAAGCCAACGAACCGTCACCAGCTCAAAAGTACGCGTCAGCTTATAACCTGCGCGTCGACACATTCCTCTCGAGCCTTTCACTGAGCAACGGCGTGCTGTCCACGTCGTCTTCATCTTCTTCTTCGTGCCGTACGGACGCAGACTGTGTAACAGCTCAAGACAACGACAATGACGACCGTCGCTGTGGACTCCGTGCTAATACAAGCAGTGGCTACTGCATCCCAGCGTGGCACGGCCTTGGTCACGCCCGTGCTGCTGCAGCTCTGCTGGAGGACGAGCCTCAGTGCGACGTATCCAAGAACAACGTCACGTTCCATGCAGTGGATATCAAAGCGCTGCTGACGCAACTCTATGACGACGCAGCAATCACGATCGTCTTGACAGGTGCGCGGTTCAATGGACCTGATGCACCCGAAGAGCTCGATCGCTACGGACGTTACACTGACGCCGCTCGGAGAGACGTGAACGCAGGTTTCTTCCACATTGCCATGACCAATATCCTCGGCAAGCACCGCCAGTCATTCATTATCGATGTGAGCGCCAATGCGCAAGTGTGGAACGAACCAGTGCAAGCGTTCGAGATCTCGGAGGCATCGGTTATCAATGCTTCGATGCTGTCACTGGAGCACTTTGACTCGAACACGTATCCGTTTAATGACGCCGCCACGTTCTTGGCCAAGTGCACGACGCGACTGACGTGGACAGTCGAGTCGATGGACGGCGGTGAGGAATTGACGTCCACGGGACAAATCGAGGCGCACACGGTGTACGAGGAGTACGAGTACTGCCTCGAGCTCGACGAGAACTACACTATTATTGGAGGCGAGTGGCTCGGAGCGAGTCGGAAGAACCATCCAGACTTTCTGTGGCTCCCAGCAGGAAAACCACGCGAAGATACTGTCACGGCAACGGGCATCTCGTATGCAAATGTGCTCGAGCTGCTGAAGGAGTCGCGGCAATGCGAACACGCGACAGCGACTCTGCCGGCTACGCAGACGCCGTCAATATCGACGCAAAGACCGAAGTGTGACAACTCGTGGGTACACGCCGAGAAGCGTCCAGCAAATGCATCGACAAGTCAAACTCCAATAGTGACTTCAGAGTCACAAGAGACGTACCCACCTCCTACGGACACGTCTGAGAGCACCGAGCCTTGGACGCAGTTATCGACGACGGACATGCCTGCCACTTCTGCTCTCGGGACTCCAGTTCCGTCGACACCATCCTCCAAGTCTTTGCGATCCGATAGCTCGACTAAACAGTGGAATGAACCATTGAGCTGGGACATGTCGACACTGTCGCAGTGGTATCGCCACCTGGCGGATACTACACTTTGGTGGTGATCAACTCGTCTCAGGTCACGCTCCGCTGGCTGAACTGGAGCAGTAGCCACTGCGTCAGATGGGGTTTTGACGTCCATCGACGATAGCGGCGGCTTTGCTGCGTTCTAGAAGAATTCGTTTTTCCAGGTTCGTTTGAACCCAGCCCAGCTAATCCCGATGCAGTAAACCACTTTCAGATAATTGACAGTGGACGTAGCACGCATAGCAGCGAGAGTGGCACAGACTGTTTGCGGCAGCCAGTGTCCGTTGCGGAGCGAAGACGCCGGCTGTCGTCAAAATACGCACCACGTCCAGTCAGTCCACGACTTGAGTCTCCATTCACATCCCATAACTCGGCTTGCTCCACTCCGACAGCAAGTTGTGAGAGCTGTCCCCACTGATACGGTCCTAAGACGACAGCAACACAAGCACTTCTTGTCGACAGGCAGAGTAGTCCTCCATCAGACTCCTACACAAACATCACAGGAAGCGCGCACTTGGAACGCAAAGCACGGCACACACTTCACCCTTAGCTTGCCGGTAAAACAGGGTATTCGCAAACAGCCACGGCCACCATGTTAATAAGACAGACGATTAAAGCATGTCGACGCCGCGTTACCCGATAACCGGAAAGGACGCTCCCGTGTAGCTACGCTCGATGGCCAAGCACGGGTTCCTCTCGCCCTGTCATCTGCGCCAGTTGCTGCCACTGAGCTGGTGTGATGCTAATGATACTCTGTGTCGACGCCGGTATGTTGGCTTCGCCCATTCCTTCCTGATTCTCTGTCGTCGTCGCAACCAAATTTCCAAATTAAATCAATACGTTGGCCGGTCAGTGACGAGATAAAATCACACCGCTTACTCAGATACGGAAGACCAGTGTCGTCGTCGACGCCAATTTCAGCAGAATTGTTACGCACTAGGAACGACGTGTCGAACAGGTTTTCCACCGTCTACAATTCGATGTGAATCACCCACACACAGCTCTTCTTAGCACGCTATTTTCCAGACAGAGCATACAAACTTGGACGTCCAACGCACCTGAGTGAAGCTCTTTGGATTGATCACCATATCAAACAGCGGTTGACGGCACTCGTGCTGAATCAACGTCGACTGCAGAATCTCCAACCGCCGAGCCTGCGCGTCTCTGCGGTCTTTCTTTACACGCGCAAATCCATCAACACGTTACAAATGTACCCGACCTTGCAGCTAAAACCAGTCACAAGCATCGCGTCAACCAACCTTGTTCGTATACTCCGTCGGCTGCGCTTCTTGCGCATTCACGTCATCTTGTGCTCGTTTCGACTTTTTCCTCTCCTTCCGTGTCACTTCCGTATCCATCAGTCCAAACCTGCGTTTGCCATCCCCATTGCCCAACGCAACCACCAACCCCACAACAAGTCAGCACGTTCATCCACACCAAAACACACATAAAACCCCACTCTACCATCACCGTAACAGACGACGTACAAGAAACTAATCTCCGGCACCGATCGGAAACACGCGCCTGCTGCATTGCCCAGCGCGTTCCAGTCAAACTCTTGATGCCCTGACTCTTTCACACACACCTCCCGCGTAGCACGAATAAACTCGGTCGTCTCGTACTACCATCACCCCCCACAAACAAACAAAAATAGAACCGTCATCACAATCAGCACCAAAAATAGTCCTCGTCACAAAAGTAACGCCAAGAAAATGAAACCACAATAACAACAGTAAGCATCTATCTACCTACCTTGGTCAAATCACTTGAGCCCAAAGCTTGCGACTGTTTCGTCACTGCCACATTAAGCTCGTCCAGATTACTAGCGTCCAAATTGGCTTCGCGCGGATAACACACGTGCTCGTACATCTGGTCCAGCTCCTGCGTGTGCGCGTCAAACGTGTCGCTCGACAGCGTCGCCAGCTCGCCTGCATTCTCCTTGAGGCTCTGCAAGAGCTCGCGCTCCTTGTACCGCACGTGGCGTCGGTCTTTCTCGCTTAATTGCGATTGTTCCAGGAATCCCTTGCGAGCGCGGCCGGGCGGGGCGACGCGCGCGCGGACGCGGCCACGGGGAGACGCAGCTGCTACTTCATTGGCTGCTACTTCAGTTTCGGGTATCGTGCGCTGTGTCTTGGCCTCTTCCTCGCTGTTGTCGCTCGAGGCGCGGCGGCGGCGCTTCTTCCCGTCGCTGGTCATGAAGTCCGGTGATGGTTGCGTGGCTGAAGTGACATGGGAACGTTTACTTTTGAGCTACTTTAGTGTCAGGCGAAGGACTGTTTTAAGTCCTTTAATATTTGGGGAGGGACAAAAGAGGGCTTTTGGTTCTGACTCAACTGTAGCTTTTGATTTTCTTCGCTGCTACGTTCGACACGTCAATCGACATTCGGTGATTCGTGATAAAGAACGACTGGACTGAACTGGACTGGAATTGTCGAAGTGGAAATGATGCAAACGAGACGTTGCAGATACTTTCGAATGGGTGAAGACAGTGTCGCTAGAGTCCCGTTTGACGGTAGTCGACTCGCGACGTCCTTCCGCCCTTGAGAACAGCTCTTGAAATGATCCACATCTTTGTTAGCTACAGATGCAGTTGCATACTTGCGTACTCATTCAGACAAACGACTGCACAACCTCGTTCGTTCCACAATGACAGCTTCCTATTGCCCTGCTCATGCGAACCCGTTGGCTGGCGAGACGACGGCAAGAGAGAGGGGTAGAGACATAGCACAGCACCTATCCCTTGGCATCGTCTTCAGTCCTACAAGTGTGCCAAATGTACTGGACATGCTGCCAGGGAGAGAGACTCGGACCTTTGATTCGATGCTGCCGTCGACGTCTTCTTCATCATTGTCAACCACTTCTCTCGCTTTAGCCGATGTCCACTTGACCACTGCGCCTTGTGCTCTAAATACTTCCCGCATGGTGGGACTTGCCGTACCCGTCTTCGCTACAGTTCCACGCCAGCAAATCTCGATCATGAAGCGTTGATCGCTATAGTTCCAGTGCGTGCAACCTCCGGTCACGTGCTGAGCTGCAGTCCTGTTGACGCCCTACCGATACATTACTTGCGTTCGGTTGGTTGTCCGTCAAATAGCCACCAACGGATCCAAATTGATCACCGGAGCTAGTGCGCATGTGAACGGGCGCAAGTCCCGTCCCCAACATATCGGAGCTTCCACTGTTGGCTGAATTTGCGTACATGAGCTTCGTTTCGTTTACCAAGCTCCCCGAGCTGCCAGACCGCACGTGACGATGAGAACTTGTCGGTCTTTGCGAAAACCGAGAAGGCGTGGCAATACCGCCCAATCCAACAGTGTCATCGCGCTGACGGGGGTGCTGCTGCTGCTGGTAGTAGCTGGCATCAGCTCGATCGTCCTCGTTTTCGTTCAACCGGTTCCGTGCTTTGCAGTAGCACGAAAGCACCGACACAACGGCCACTGTGAAGACCAGCACGCCACAGCAAATGATCAGCGCGATCTGCCACGTCTCAAGACTGTTGTCGCTGGCTGTGCAAGCAAATCGTCCCAGCCTCACAAAGTGCGTCAGTATAGTTGTTCGTCGATGCAAAAAACCGGCAATACGTACATGTGGCACTGGGATCGAAGCTACCAGCTGTCTTGCCGGCGTCGTCCAAACTAGAGGCCGAGCTGCCAGATGTGGCAGTTGCAGGCGGAGCATTGTTTCCCTCTACAGGTGACGAGTCATTTCCAGACGACGACGACGTTCCAGATGCCGAGTTTGACGACGTTCCCGAGGTTGACGACGTTCCCGAGTCCGACAAAGTTCCAGGTGCCGAGTTCAATGGAGGACCTGGAGTAGGGACAGGAGACGCAGTAGTAGGTGCGTCTGAAAGCGTTAATACACACAGCGCAGAGCCCAACGCAGCAGCAAACACAAACCAACATTAGCAAAGCATTACCGTAAAATGAAAGACGACCCGACACCAATCAATTCAAGAGCAAAGTACGAAGAAGAAAGACCGAGTTCCGCCCAGCACATACCACAAGCAGCAACACAGCAAGCAAGCAGTCAGCGCGACCGAATCGAAACACACTCTCCATGTTGTACCGTCAAAAAATAGTATGTCAACTCTCCCTTGCCAGTACCTGTCGTAGCAGCAGCAGCAGTAGGAGCTGGAGGAAGCGTGGAAGCAGGAGGCGAGCTTGACGGCTCCATCGTCGCCGGCTCTGACGGCGCCGGTGATGTCGTCACACTGGGAGTTTCAACATCCAAAGGCGGCACTTTTGTACCAGCACTAGATGCCTCCGGCGTGCGGGTGCAGTCCCCACAGTTCGTGCCATACGCACACGTGCCATCACTGCCAATAGCATAGCCAACGATCGCCCCACCCGTCTCCTGGTAGCACTGGCCACAGCTGCAGCCTCCAGATCCCGACCGCGTTGCCCGAGAGCCACTGCAAGCACATCCAGCAGCACCTCCTGGTCCAAAACCCGTCAACTCGGTCGTGTAGCAAATTTCATCACATGGCGCAGCTTCGACTGCAATTTACAGCAAGCAAAAAGAGGACCAAGTAGCAGGTAAGTTCAGGTACATTTTCAGCCTGAAAGCCTGTAGAAAAAGTGATCAAAAACACGAACCTTGAGCGTGCCACGATGGGGACGATAAACTGACACCGAAAGCGGTTACCAAGACCCACGGACGCATCCTTGCTGTACGGTGCTCTTAAAGTGTAAGAAGCTGGATTAGCTGGAGCTACTGCACATTGCAACCACACACACACACAAGACACAATTAACAACACACACATGAGCGGGTTATTACTACTAAGAAAAAAGTCAAGCAGGTGGTCAGTCGGTACAGGCTACCAAGTCTTTTCTCTACCTCTCTCTAAGTAAGTAAAAACGACAATTCGCTTTATAATGAACACAGAGCGGCAATGACCTGAACGATGCAAAGACTGGATGACGAGAAAGAAGCAATCGACGGCACTGCGTTAGTGGCTGAACAGTGCAAGCGCCGCGCTTCTTATTGCGTGCTGGACCAAAGAAGGTCGACGGCCGGGTTGGTATTAAATGAAGCCGGAAGTTAGCCTGCCTGTCAGCAGATGGGAGAGTATTTGCCAATCAACGCGGCAGACGGTCGTTAAGTGCGCACGATGGCATGGCAACATACCGGTACGATGGACGTGCACTGATAAGACTGGATTCATACCACGGCCTATGTTGCATGACTTCTCTTCTTAAATGGGATAACCAGGATAAGAAAGCAGGACAGCACGATTTCATGTCCTGCGCTTGCAAATGCGGCTTTTTTTTACATACATCCAGTCCAAACAAGTGGCCGTGCACGCTCGACATGGTCGGAAACGCGCCTTTCGAAACCGGCTACCGGTACATGAGATGCAGCATAAAGTGCAGCATGCCAACGACCACCAAAGAAACGACGGATAGCATATTGACGATGCAAAAAGCTGTTGGGAGTCATTCTTTGAAAAATAGTCACAGCGTCAAGCTTTGAAACTGTCATCGCTTAACGCTGGACAAGTCGTCACGGTCGAACAGCTGCTATTGCCAGCTGACTATTTCTACCGGTAACAACTTGTCGTGTCGTCTATAGCGGTCCTAAACAGCTGACCGTCGGTCTTTCTGCGACACGACCAGGCTTTACTCCAATTGACAAGTCGAAATTAAGGCACTGCTCGCAGACTCATCGCCACATTTTGACCGGAACAGTAATCGGCATTGTTATAGACGCTACAGCCGCTGGATGGACTGCTGGAACACATACCAGGTACCAATATAGAACTTCTCAGGTACAGGTTTTCACTCCAGAATCGTAAGACGTCCTTCATGCTCCGGATATGCCAGCAACCGCTTTTTCAGCATAAAGTCGGCCACGACCTCTGGAATTTGAACGGTCTCACGCACAATCTCTCCCTGGAGCCACGACGAGCAGCCGTCGCCACCGTCCGCGACGAACTTGGAAGTAGCCACGAGGAGCTGCCTTTCCATGTCTACTGACTCGCCACTGTCGTCCACCATCTTGGTCATTACGGCAGGCTCCGACTGCATATTGATAATCAAGCGGAGTCCGGATACGTGAGGATGTGACCCACTCTGCTGCGGGTACTTGCACAGATGCTGCATCAATGCATCGCGCAGGTCGCTGGCTTTTATGCGCACTAACACAGCGGGCCGCGGGAACGGCATCTCGTGCTTTAAGATGTTCACGGTGATGCTGGATTTGGCTGGATACTCTTTGTCTCCACGGATAAAGCCTCCGTTGATAAACCCTACGTCCGCTGCTAGTTCACTCCGCAGAGCATCTGCTACCAAATTGCCTCCGCTGCTTTCTCCAGCTCGTAGAAGCGCTGTACGAGTCGACAAAGGTGTTGCTAAAGTAGCCAATACCCGCTTGTTTTTCGTCGAATTGTCTTCGCTTGCCATCTGGCGCATGTACTTGTAGAGAATTTGCTGGCATGCCGGCTGTGGTGGCAGGTACGCGTTTGCAGTCATGCTCCATTGCGGCAAGATGACAAGTCCCCGTTCCGGGTGTTTGGTAGACCGCTTCAACTCAAACTCGAGCTTGGCCAGCCAAAACGCATTCTGTCCCGATTTATGGATCAATGTCTTGCCTTCATACATCGTGACTGGCTCGTGGTCGTGTCCGCCAAGTATCAAGTTGATGCCGGGTACTTGGCGGGCAAGTTTCTTGTCCTGTGCAATTGGCAAGTGCGTCAGCGCGAGAATGAAATCTGCGCCTTGAGCTTTTAGTGCGTCTACACAGCGTCGAGAGGTGGCAAACACGTCGTCAAACTGGATGCTGCTCCCTGGAAATGACAGCGTCGGGGTATCCTCGGTGCATACACCAAAAACTCCGAGCTTTAGTCCGTCTTTCAAGCTGACAACTTCTATATCCACAACGTTCTCGAACAGCGCGCCTGATACCGAATCAAGCACATTGGAGCCAAACCATTTCGCCGTCGAGTCTCGCATGCGCGCCTTGAGTTCATCAGCGCCAAAGTCGAATTCGTGGTTACCCAGCACGACGTACCCGATATCCAAGTGGTTCATCAACTCGATCATGTGGGCTCTACCATGACCCAATGAATAATAATCACACATGTAAAACACAAAACAACCACAAAAACCGTTTTGAGCGAAAATACCGACAACTACCGCCTCGACCGAAATGCATCGTAATCTTTTTTTATCGTCATCAGAACCACCTTCTTCCAGCGGTTAGTTAATCAACGCACCCTTTAAAGCGTTCGGCCATCTCCGACCCCGAGAGGAAGTCTCCATTAAGCGTCACAAGCAGCGTCACGTCCTTGGGAAGCAAAGCCTTTTCACGCTCCAACAGCGTTGCAAACTCTGCGATTCCTCCGTGGCCGTGCTCATTTGGGACCATGTCGTACACGTCATTGACAGACAGAAGAACGATCTTGGCGCTCAGACTGTCGCTTGTAAATTGAGAGGCTTTTGTGTCGCTGGCCGTGGACGTGTTGTCGAGGGTATCGTCTGTATTCGTGATTGGCAACGGCAGGGACAGCTCGTCCGTCATTTTTGTCATGGCAGTTTATTTCTCGGACGTGGATATAAAGCGAGGATCTATCACGGAGCGGTCGGACGTTACACTGTCGTGGCTCGAAGGATCACGCTACGAAGTGTCGGTATGTAGAGAGGTAGGTATGGTATCTTACCGTGTAAGTATTTGCCATCCACTTTGTGATTGTGTAAAACCGGTATGCTGTATCGTAGGAGAGGGTACCGGTATCGTCATTTTGCGACTCGAAATCAAGTGTGGAGCTTGATGATAGTTACGAACAGTTGGTGCAGAGTGTGATCATAGTGATGTCTGCAATGACAAAGCGATATGAGCAGGCCACAGCATTCCCGCTTGTATTTGTTTCTCTCTCATGCACTTGTAGTGCTGAGCTACTCGTACGTAAGTTTTTGTTCAGCGACTTTGATCACAACGACGTGGGAACTGTCTTAACGATGCACGTTAACTTCGCATTCCAATTCACTCGGTGGACATTCCGATACTCAAGACGCAACTTGCGAGAGTTTTGTGCTGATCAATACAGCCATGTATGTATCGTCATTTTGAGACATCAAGTTGAGCAAAACTGGCTGGGGGTTGAAAGGGTAAAGTCCCAAAACACCGGAATTTGTGCAGCCAGGACTACGTGCGAAGGTAAACAAACGCATTAGAAGCGACAACCTTAATTCTGTGGCGATCACCGCGTTTCCAGGTGGTGACCTTTTCTCGATCCTTTTAGCCCGGGCTCACTCTGCAGCCAGCTTGGGTCTGCACTGTGAACAGGCAACCGACTAGTCATGCAGCACAGAAGCAGCACTAGAACTCTCATGCGACTTTCCATTGTTGTTCTTAGCGCGCAACAATTTGGGCAGACTGCTAGTCATGCCCATGAGTATGGATCATGGCGAAGTGGTGAACGACTTAGATGATGCCGAGGCCATGTACACTGATGTGCGCTGACACTAGACAATCAGCTCTTCAGTGCAACCAATTAGGATTTTCCAACTCACACCGACTCTGCTTCCCAATACAACGGTCTTGCTGATCAGCCTTGTTGTAAACGGACCAAGCACGACTGCGCTCGTGCAAAAGAACTGACGTGACGTGGTTTGTCTGAAATGCACACACACACGTAGATGTCCTTTGACGTCACGCAGTAACAATTTTTCCGATCCGTATCAGCAGCTCACACCGCTCAACAAAGCCTTGCGTTACTCAATCGCTACAACATCAGCACGCGCGACGAGCTGTTGTTCTCCAGTCAAGTTGTTTCCGCTGACGATCGATTTACCACATGAGAAACCAAGGTAGTTCGCCGTTAAGCACACATTTGGTAGCCCCCATCCGTAGATGTTGTTGGGATATTCGTGGTACGTCGTGTTACCACATGCACTAGGCACGAGAAACGGCTTATGCAGCGTGCGTGTGGTCGTCTGAGTCAGACCATGCAAAATCTTTTCGTAGGCCGGCGGCTTCGTATGATCGAGACCAAGCAACAGCGCGATGGCACCAGCTACGTGCGGTGTCGACATTGACGTTCCAGTGAGTCGAGTGTAGACACTATCCCCAATACTCATGGACGACCGAATGCCTACACCAGGAGCGACGAAGTCGGGCTTGATGACGTAGTTGCTGCTCGTGCGGGATAACACATCGTTCATAACCTCGTTTCGTACCGTCCAAGCTTGGGCCTTTTCCACTGGCACCCCAGAGTGAGCTTCCTCCAATCAACGCTCCAACCGCAATCGTGTCTTCATGACTGCCAGGATAATACACACTCCCGCACAAAAAGCCATTGGTGTTTCCACTGGCAAAGACCGGGTAGACGCCAGCCGCTCGCCAAGCATCAATCACTTTACTCAGCCACGTCCACTGTGGATACACAGGCGTGGATCGATCAACGCCAAACGAGTTCGTCACAACATCAGCTCCAAGCGAACAGTCCGTTCCCGTTCCATCCATTCGAGTCGGACACACCACCCATTGCGCAGCCAGCAAAAAGTCGCTCTTGTTCGCTGCGCCCCAGACATCAAACGCTCGTGCAGTGATCCACGTGGCTCCAGGAGCAACTCCGACTCCTTTTCCTCCAACCGCCGACCCCATAGTATGCGTTCCATGACCTACCTCATCCGCCGTATCAGGCGTCTCCTTAGCCACGTCCGTACCTGGCGTAAACCAGAAAGCATAGTCCAGCTCAACTTTCCCATCGGCTTTCGTCCCTACAAACAAACAAAGCAGAAGAACAAGACACGGATTTATTGCAACACTACCATCAGAAAAGCTCACTATAACCTCCGTCTCTTCCAGCCATCTTGCTTCTCAACCCCCTGCTCACCTCGAAACGTCTCTCGCAGTGCTTCGTGCGTGTAGCGCACACCCGAGTCAATACTTGCCACCACAACGCCGTCGCCTCTCCCCCCTCGAGCCCACAGCTCGGGGGCATGCAGCAACTTGACATTGCTCTGCACCTCCTCCTCCTTCGTCTCAATTTCTTCCTCTTGTTGCGTCCTCAATAGCGTCAACACACGCGCGTCTTCCTCCACTTCCACGACCCCCGGGAACGTCCAGAGATCTCGCGTCAAGAGCCGACCTAGCGCTCGATCGTCCTCATTATAGTGAACCACCAGCGTGTTCTGTATCCACAGAGGCAAAACCTGCGTCTTTTGCGCGCTCTGGGCGCGAATAAAGCTCGAAACATAAAGTTGCGCGTCTCGAACGAACTGGGACGCGGTTTCGTGCACCTCAAGACGCCGCTGGGCGCGCGAGAGAGACGGCGATTGCGGGAATGCAAGCGGATCGACTGGAGGGTGAAGATGTACTAGAAGGGTGCGGCGGTGGGCGGCCAGCAGCGGCAGAAAGAGCGCGACGAGCGCGAGAGCAAGTAGCAGGCGGAGCATTGGCGATGGTTGAAGTGGAACGTGGTGCGAGCGACTTGATATTGGAGAGGGTGATGCTGGATTGTAGGTTAAAGCTGGATTGTAGGTTGGTGGAAGGATTGTGGTGAGGGAATGGGGGTGGTGGAAACGTGAAGTCGATGGGGCTGATGCGATTGCTGAGTTTTGGTGAGAGGAACACGTTGACATTTGGTTAAAGATATTGTTAAAAACACCCCCACTTTTCACGAAATACACCCCACTTTTTACGAAATACACCCCATGCAACACACCTGTACTACACCACAAACTGGTTGTACCACGAATATCACACCTCACCTACATCTGTACGACCACTTTCGCACAGCAGTCTGCATCTGTCGTACAAATGGTACGTGATTTTACCAGTCTATCTCGTATCTGCAAAATGACCATTGCGTCGGTCAAAAACCAGCTTTGAGCACGCAAACAGCGCCTAGTCCTCGTCACCCGCTATAGTAGCAGAATTTGTACAGCTATTATATTAGTAAGCGCAAGTGAACAAAACCGCCAAGAAAAACGAACTGGCGTTTGTCGCACCTTGCAGGGTAAACATTACGACCTCGTCGCATTTTGTTGTGAGAATCCAAACATTGGCTACATTGCTCGTTCGGGCCTACAGGGTACATAGACCAAATACAATATGCGTGTCCAGACACCCGGTGACAAGCGACCTTACACACCAACTCGGACGATGGAGATCGGATACGTGTCGTGCAGCTGGACTCCCATTTTATTATTCGACCGACAATGACCTGGTTCGGACGCACATTCAAATTAGGCTCGATCGAAAATGCATATAGCTGTATGATGCAACCTATCGTTCGTAGAGGTGATTTTCGCCGCGACGGATGTATCCGATATACGGTCGGTGAAACGTGAACCTTTGTTTCATTCATTTCTGTGCCTTTCTCAACAAAACATGACTGTTGCCATTTCTTGAAGAAACAAAGAGCAACCCAGATGTATCTGACATTTAGTGACGAATACGTCGTGGTCGTTATTCGATTCGCTTACAAGAACAAAGAGCTTTAATTGTCTATTGCGTGCTAAAAGAAGTTTGCTTGGTAAACCACTGACCATTTGTACGACAGATGCAGATTGCTGTGCGATAGTAGTCGTACAGATGTAGGTGAGGCTCGACATTCGTGGTACAACCAGTTTGTGGTGTAGTTCGGGTGTGTAGTACGGGGTGTATTTTGTTAAAATGAGGGGTGTATTCAACATACCCTTGATTAAATATCTTGAGTTGGGAGGAGGGATGCAACCGTGTCGAGTGAATGGAAGGGGTTGCGATTTGGGGGTGCGTTCAACACAATTTTATATCGTAGCAGCTGCTGGAAAAACCATGATTGCACCCACCACCTATTCCGCTGACAATGTGCCCAACTTAGCGCAAGAATAGTATCGCTGTTTGCTGGTCGCAGCAGCTGTTTCCTCATTTAAAATTGATAAAGTGAATTTACTTCAAAGTCGCGAAAGCCTAACCGTCAGGAAAAAAAACGAAACGGTATCCGAGCCCTTACTTTAATTCAGTACATAACCATCCCTCAGTCAGCGTATCCGTACCCTCCCACCAATAATAACCCACCGACAGTCGCACGTGACGAAGCCTAATATTCCGTCAAATGCCGTTACGAAACAAGCCGCAGCAGCAAAACCCTACCCTCCCTCTCGATACAAAAATCAAGCTCAGCTCCGCGCGCCCGTCTTCGCCCCACCAAGTTGGTCGCAAGAGACAGGACGCGGCCTCTTTTCTCCCCCTATCCAATATCGCAGGATTTGGCTCGAGTTTACAGTCACGCAGGACCGAGAGACCGCAGATGGTCTGGCTCGCCTCGACGTGGACCTTGCAGTGCAATAGCTACGCCCTACTGCTCCCGATGCTGCTTGAGACGGTGCTCCTGTGCGTCATTCTCTGGCGCACGCTCCATCAGCTCTACTGGCGCTCCCATCCACGCCGCGTATGGCTTCATTTGGTGCGATTTCCCGTCATTGTTATCAGTTTCGAGAGGGTATAGAATGTCAATGGTAACCGGCTGTATCCATACGTTTTACACAGGTCCTGCTACTTACGTGTGCCATGCGGCTGGTTTTCTGGCTGTCTATGTGCACGCCAAGTGTATTAGGGTTTGGTGTGGCGTGTTTATGGTGGTCGAATTCCATGGTCCTGCTCTGTACAGCAGCCGTGATCTTTCAATGGTCAAGTGCAGTCATGGCTGGACAAGCAGGAACTGTTCAAGAGTTGCACCGGTGTAAGCGGATCACAGTGTTGCACCCACTTGTGCTTTTGCACGCCATGCTCTTGATCTGGACGACTGTTATTGCCATCCACGTGCTGACCCATAAGTTGGGCACTTTTACCAGCGTGGCAGGCTATGCACGAGACGCCGCGTCGCTTTTACTGGCCTACCGCGTTGTGAATTCAGCTACCTTGATCTTTGATGTCATTGTCGCGTGCTACGTGGCAACTCGGCTGCGAGAGCGATTACTTGCAGCTGCAATGGCAGAAGATATGAAGAAAAAGTCTGTCCTGCAGATGACGCTGCTCATGGCTCTGCTGACAGCGTCGTTGACGTTACAGATTATCATGGATGCACCAATTATTATCTCGGGAGCTGAGGACTCGTGGTCGTCCCTAAGCTTTGAAGCGTTTTGCATTTGCAAGTATCTGGTTCCAGGGGTTGTCCTGAGCTTAGTGTTTTTGTACATTATGCGGCGTGTCGAACAGCGTGAACCCAGAAGGACAATGGTGATGCCGTCACGGTCGCTAGTGGAGTTTGTGGAATGTTCATCGACAGACTGCGTGTGGTGCGCGCACCATCAACGGTACCATTTGAGTCAGCACAAGTGGGACGCGACGCTCATGACGCCGTTCTCGCCCCAGACAGTGGACTCGAGCGATCATTCGTCGACGTACGCCAACCTCTCACAAGGGTCGTGGTCATCAAGCAGTACGCCAGAATTGTTGCCTTCGACCTCATATTTGACTCAGGACAGCCATCACCGCCTCTATGAAGCTTACTCGCCGCACCTCCATGCGCACCCATCACGTGAGCGGGTGCACCTTCCACTGCAGACGCACGGAGATTATGAGTCACCACGAGATATTTTAGGAAGACGAATAGGATGTTACAGCTGAACAGCTCCATCGCCTTCTGGAAGCCATGCTGGCGTCAAGGACAAAGCGTTGCGCATAATAACGAAAGAAGAGTTTTGCCATGGGATCCACCCACACTGGAATGACAAGAATGGAGGTACTGCGATATGACGGCGGCAAACGGTATCGACTTTTCGGATGCCTGTATATTTATCATATCAAGACCGAACGAAATGGACAGCGTACAGTAGCAGAAGCATCCAAAGTCACACGTCGAGTGAAGAATTGTGTCTGGGGATTCCAAATAGCATGCGGGTCTTTCATCACGTGAAAACGCGTTGCAACCGGTACTGTAGTACGCGTGCTGTTTTGAGGATCTCGGTGTAGAAGATCTCGGTGGTTATCTCAGGTCTGTAGCAGTACATTATAGACAAAATGTGAGCATCAAGCCATTCCCGGCCTCGGGCAAACGTCGTGTTGCTACTTGCCAAACCCAAATCTGGAGCACATGCACATTCCTCGGTTGATGACGAGGGAAGGTTGTGCAGAGATAGATGGTCTACCGCAAGCTGAGCTTGTTCGTCTTCGTGCAACCGATCGGGTGAGCCTCGAGCGCGTGGTCAATGTTGGTAAAACGATGTCTATGGCGTATAAACCACTTGACTGTCTTGTGCAGACCTTCTTGCCAAGATACCTTCTCTTTCCAGCCCAAGGCACGAATTTTGGTTGCGTCAATAACGTACCGGTGGTCGTTCGAAGGTCGATCCTGAACATGTGTGACCAATTTGACCAGATCGTGTCCCTGGAGTTCCGGCTTCATCAGAGCCAGCAAGTCCATCGCGACTTCCTTGCTCGATCGTTCGTTCGTTCCGCCAATATTGTAAATTTCTCCTGCTGCACCTTTATGCAGAATCAAGTCAAATGCTGCAACGACATCCGAAATGTAGAGGTAGTTACGGGTGTGCCTGCCGTCTCCATGGATCGTCACTGGCTGGTCCCGCAAAATCTGATTCACTACCTTTGGAACGAGTTTCTCTGGATACTGATGTGGTCCGTACACGTTATTGCTCCTTGTAATAATAACAGGGAGTCCAAACGAGCGATAAAAACTCTTCACAAGGAACTCGGCACCAGCTTTTGTGGCGGCATACGGGTTCGTCGGCTCCAACACATGGTCTTCAGTCATCGGCACAGCTTCGTGTCTGCCGTCTCCATAGACCTCGTCCGTGCTTACGTAGATGAATTTCTCAACCTCAAACTGTCTCGCAGCTTCCAACAACACATGGGTACCACCGATGTTGGTCTTGCTAAACTCGACCGAGTTTCCAAATGAGTTATCCACATGAGACTGTGCTGCAAAGTGCAGAATTGTATCAATGTGCTCGGTCCGTATGACTTCCTGGACGAGCTCTGGCTCGGTGACATTTCCATAAATAAATTTGTAATTCGTCGGTAAGGTTGCAAGGAACTCGTCCGCCAGAAAAAAAGCGTTGCTTTTCCTCGTCAGTTAGAAACAAGTGGTCCTCCTCCACGTTCTTCTCGTCTTTTTGCTTGTTGGAAAAACCTCGTATTCGATTCCAAATCAATTCGTTTTTGTCGTCACTTTTCAAAATGCTTTTTTCTAAAGCGTTGACACTTTTTTGCTGGAGACGGACGGCGACACGACCATTGTATGCAATAGCCGAGTGGACGTTACACAGACACGAGCAATAGTCGAGCGAGTCGAGGTTTACAATATAGTACTGTGGATAAGACTGGACAAGGTGGATCACAACGTGCGAACCGATGAAACCAGCGCCGCCAGTCACGAGAATGCGCTTCAAGTACTGAAGCGGCTCGAAAGGTGTCGCCATTGCGAGCTCGAAGTAGTGATTTGTGGCTGTCTCTTGGTACCGATTTGAATGGACGTTTCCGGATTGTGATCACTCGAAAAAGTTGACGCAGTCTAGGTAAGTCACATTGATCAGAAGCCGGTTGAATGGGTTTGAAGAAGTTGCCAAGAGGATGAAAAACCGAAAAGCACCTCAACCAATTGGGAACGCGACCAATACCGCACAATCGCTGAAAATGACCGACCCTGAGGGTAGCGACACTATCGGAAGAGGTTATACCGTTGCATAGCAACCGCAACCTGCGTTTCATGCTCGATTTCTTCAGGCGCTTTTCACATCGAAACGTTCGGATGGTGTTCGTTAAAATACACAAAAACTAGGTGGACGGACATCAATATCAAGACTACGTTCAATCAAGCATGTTGCCCGCAAGAATGTCGTCGTCAGTCGACTTGCTTGCCATCCACTAACGTAAATAAATACGACATATCCATTGAAATGCACACCTCGACCCGATGATCGATGGAGCTTCCAACCTCCATATCGATAATGGTCACAAGCTCGGAACAAAACGCATTTCCATGATCATCTCGGTTTAATTCATGTGAGCAGTGCAAAAGCTACGATCTTGACGTGCTCTCCTCTCTATCGAAACGTCTTTTGCTCAATTGTCAGTGACGCGGTGGGTGGTCACATTAGCAGGGAACGTCTCGGTGTCGGCATAAGAAACGCACACGTGCCATGGGGAGTACCTTTCGTTCATACGACACGACGGACGACGTGTTGTTTTATTCAGTAACAACGATTTCATACGCAAAAGTTCGTAACGAACGCGCCAACTTGGCGAATGTTATCCCAGCACGGACCGACAGTATAGACACGCTCGACGACAGCAGACTCACTGAGTGTGGGGTAACGCAGTCGTAGGCTATCCGTATTGCTCGTCGGTTTGGACTCTTGCCATTGATGTGCGACAGCTGTCATGTTCTCACACCTCTCACTTCTGTCAGCGGCTGTAAATAATGCATGTGCTACCATCGCATTCGTGAGAGGTATCTCAGGTGTCAATCTTTTTCAGCGTCATACCGTGAAGCTATCGGCTACGATCTGGTGGCGCACATCAGACTCGCACGCAGCTCGTAATGTATTTCGTCGTGCACACGGTGGTCCTCAAAGAACTTCAGTACAAGTCGATATGCTGCGCAACCTCTTATCGAAGATACATTCACACAATGTCCGCCACGTCTCCGTTTTCGATCCAGTAGGTACAAGCTGCTTATTACGAGGTTTTTGTTTTTTAACTGAAGCACAAGTGCAACCCACTGATGTCAATGTGGACATGGAGCAATACGCCTTGCATTGTGAATGAAAAGAGCAGACTTGAACCTTGACGGTATTAAGATGTGAATCTACTTATTCTGAGCCTCACCTAGTATTCCGTTCGTACATGGAATGCATGATGGCAAGTATGGCAGCGATCCGTGCGAAAGTACGAGATATGTTACTGCAAAGAATCAAATGGTGATGTTTGGGGTGCACCAACCAAGACGACACGTTTCCTGTCGAAGTCCATACCAGAAAATAAGCTCAAAGCAGTGGCTTGAGGTGGCCTGATCAATAGGACCCGTTTAGTCACACTTCTGTTCGACGGACCACGCTTAGATGCCTACCAAGCCATGCGAGCCTTGTTGATAACACAACAGTACTTTGTTTTGTGGCCAAAGAAACGCTTGTACCATTTCACACTGGAACCTTCCCAGGTACAGAAATACTTGATGGGTTTACATCAATCAAAGCCGTATGCGTCGCATCGAGCTCTCCGCGCGATGCGTCGGCACAATGCCAGCTGAGCTACTCGACGTGCCGTTCTTTTTGTCGGACGCGGTTTCCCCACAAGCCAAGGTGTGCGTCTGATTCAATCAACTCGCAAGATCTTGTCGGTAGTTAACAGCTATTTATGATCGTTGCACCCTTCTCTATCTGCCCACCAACAGCGCCAAATGAGCGACTAAACAGATGCTTGAAAGGGCGACATGCTTTATATGATGAGACGGACGATGCGTTCACAATGTTCGAGCTGCATGTATCATTAGACTCGCCACCAAAAATGTCGACAAAGCTAAATTTGCACGTTAAATGTAGCTCGGCGTCCTACACTTGCCCGGTAGATTGCAACCGAGCGCCATCGGCTTGAGCGCCATAGAAGGCCACGACTACGAGAAGCCCACCTGTTCTATCCAGCGCTACCTTATCACAGGCATGAGCAAATGGCTACTGTACAGTGCAAGAGAGATGATCAAATAGATGTATATTGCTTATGTTTACGTGGACTACCACAATGTAACTATGGCAATGCACAACATTGCATTGCCATTACAAAAAGTCATCATCGACCCACTACCACCCGTCATTTTGATCTTCTTTTTTATGATCAATATACCGATAGGTCTGGTACTGAAAAACGATGTCCCTCTCAATAGATGGTGTATCGGCAATTCCGTCTTCCAATCCTAGAATACCCACAGTAAGTTCCGACGGCGACACCATGCGGTCGTACCACAAATCGAATTGCGCACGTTGCAACCGCTTGGCATACTTTTTTCTCCAGTAGTGTTTTGTCGAGCGACGAAACATGGCTAGCATCGTTGCCAGCTTCTTCTCGGTGTAAATCGTCTCAAGAAATTTGATCCCATCAGCTTCTGTATGCGAAGCACAGACAGACTTGAACCAACGCTTGAAGCTCCGGCTTAAGAATAACTGAGCCATCAGTTTCTCGGTGACATTCCCGTTTTCGTCTTGAACTGGAAATTTATCGAGCTCTAGCCTCCGGTAGGAATGGCTGAGAGAAATGTACTGCTCTGCAGTCTTCCACAGATTCGTAATCTTGGCGATATCCAGTGCACCGAAAACCAGTTGTTGGACCACGCTCCTTCCTTCGTCATTTGGCTTATCGACTGCCTCGTCAGTCGTGCCGCTCTTGGTGGACTGTGTCGAGGCAAGAGATGCCACCACCACTGGTTCTTCTGACGCTGCGGAACGAACAGCGCTGTCAACAAGTGTAGCAGCCATGAGCAGGAGAATGCAGGATAAGTTCATCTGTTGCTGCTTCGAACTCGTGTGTTACAGTGGGTGCTGGAGAGCAAGAGGGAGAATGAACAGTGGGTAACGAACACTCGTCCCAGTATAAGGACTGCCTCGTACAAAGCGTTCCGCGTACTCCTGTCCAGAATCGATCCAGAACAGGTTTTTGTTCAAACAGTGACCATGTGATTACGACGGATGGTGTGGTGCGCAAGCCCACAGTGCAGGCAACATACGACCGTAGGAACGAAGAGTTGAGTCAGGCGTGAAATGCTAGTATTCTACCCGCCTGCTTTCCCGCGGATGCCAGTTTATGTGTGGACTGTATCTTCGGGTGCGCAGTTTCTGCAAAAACAGGCAGAGTCCCATCGCTTCTTCTGCCCGCATTTTTCTTTTTTCTAGCCTTCAGATGTGCATGCATAGCCCCCGCAGCCACGTGCGAAATTTCTTCTTGAGCATGTGGCAGAGGTCAGCTGTATCGCTGTACCTGTTCCGATGCGGATGGAACACTCTTGCGCCGTGCTGGCGCAACTGAACTGCGTCGCGTAGTTGATGGGTCCGGGTGTCTCAAGCAGCTGCTGGGCTCAGCTGTAAGAAGGCCTGACATAGAAGCTCCTTAATTGCTGCTCCGGCTCAACTAGTCGAATACTGAGGGTCTTGAAGGACTCATTTGCTTCTCCATTTGCTTCCTCGTGATCGAATTCGATCGTCTGTGCGCTCTGAATGCCTCGTCGCTGCTTGGAGAGCACTTTTGACCCATGATCGGAGGTGATGCTAGATGGTTTCATGACGTCTACGCTGCAAGAGGACACAAAGGATGACGTGCGAAGTTCAGTAGGTTATGGGGCTGGCCTTTCTCAAGTAAGATACAACGACTTGCTTCTGTAGTAGCTATCTGATCGGCCCGTGAAGAGTGGAACATGGCTCAGTTGATGTACGCATGTATTTATTACTCCGTCGTCAGGAATATTAGGTGAAAAGTCCCTGTTCACAATCTTTTGCTTTTACCAGCGTCAAACGGGATTCGGGTACGGTGCAGATTTTCCTTGGGTACGAACCCTCTTTATCCAGCTTTGTCGCTGTTGTTTACGCACAGGCAGTGCCTGTGCTCGATGTTCTGCAAGCTTGCTCTATCTTACTATGGCGTCAGTGTTCTTTGTGTAAACAGTGGTGATTGCGCCCGTCAGCTACAGCTCAAAGCAAACGATGTAGCATGCAACTGTATATTTATCTTGTGTGCGAGTCACCTGGTCGTCCTGCTCAACTTGCCTGCGGTTGTCTCAGAAGATGTCGCGCTGGGCTGGTTCAAATATTTCATGAAAAGCGTGATGCATCGACTTCGCGTGTTTGAGGGATAGCAACTTGTGTCGAACTCATGCTCGTACACGATCAGTATCTCGCTTTGTGCAATTCACACTTACGCATAACAATAACGCTCTCTCTTAACCGAAGACGGTAGCCAAATCGATTTTGCTTGTCGTTTTCTCGCTGCATGATCCGCACAGACACATTGAGTTCATGTCTGCATAGAAGTCATGTGGCTGAATAAATTGCCTCCCTCTACGCCAGCGTGCCACAATGATGTGTTTCTCGATTATTCCGCTCTCCTGGTATGTGCCATACGTACATCAAGTCCGCGGAACGAAGCGACACCGCGTTCGTTTCGTACATTCCGTCCCTCTGCCACAGTTCAAACAAAGGCTTCTCTCTAGAGGTTGGATATGCCTCATACGGCAACACTACATTGCCTGTTCTCGCTGTCAAACAAGTTCACGGAGATTGTGGTATAGCCCGGTGATCAAGGTCATCGAAATATTGGGACAACCTCTCGTTGAACCTCATCTTGACATCTGGTTGAGCTTTTTATTCAGCCAAAGTACCTCTTCCAGGTACTTTGGATCTCAGGTAAAGGTTGGACGAAAAGTCCCATCCTCTCTCACGCACATGATCACCGCTACCATCGTGCGTGCTACTCCGCTCGTTCTGCTCTCAGATCCATATCGGGCTTACTTTTACCACGAAAAACGGCTACTAAGTACCTGTTCACAACTCATCGTTTCGTTGCATGCGATATAGATTGTCTCCTATGCACAGGAAACCTCCGCACTCAAACGTTGACGCCGCCATTAAGTCTAAGTGCTCAACGCTAGACTGGACGACGCAACGCGTGTAAATCGCTATGCTAGTCCTCACTGGGCGACGTCACCAATGACCAAATTATGCTATGGATGATTGATTGTCCCTTCAATCCATTCGGACGCAGTGCATCGTAGCGCTATTAAGCCTCTGTCCTTTGAATGAGTATGGCAGAAATGAAGTCAATAGTAAAGCCTCACACACTTGCCCAGGTTATGCTCAGCTGTTCGTCAGGCATTTGGAGTCGGCCTGGCCACTTAGGGTATGCGTCAATTGTGAGGGGTGACGATAAGAAGCGAACGCAGTTCTTCTCGCTTACACGAGGACCGTCAAGTTTTGCAGCTCACCTTCTGTCTACGCATGTGGCGGGTGCAACTGGGTAGCCCGCTACATGAAATTGACACCAAACGGTGTCATTAGGAATATTGTCTAGCATGACAATATCCTACCAATGTTATTCGAGATGGATAATTTTGAAGGAAAATGATCCCCTGTTAGGATACTATTCATGCGCTGCTCCAAGATTGGTTGATAAAAGACATATCAACCATAGATTACCACCAATCGCTGCTAGACGCGCGCAATGAGTGGTGAGCAGGTTGTCGTCATACGACGACGTAGTTAAGTGTAGTAAGATAAAGACTGAAGTCATATTGATAGCTTAACTTTATTTAATTCAGTTCTCTTTCCACCCTTCACTCAGCTTAGTTGTTGAATGAATAAGCTTCCTCTGCACGTACTAGTTTACGTGTACTAGTGTACGTGAAGTTTCGTGGCACCCAGACAAAGGGTGCCACGTTACACCTGGTAGCACTTCATAGTCCGCCCACGACTACTTAGCGTCCGTCCAATGTGAACATGTTGGACGTAGAAGACGACAGCTTCCACGTCACACGTGAAGGCTATTCCCATCTGAGTGACTCAGAATGGGAGGTAGTCGGCCGCATGAGTGTGCTCATGGGCGAACCCGCCATCAGTGGCATGTTGGAGTCTCTAAGCAGAGACCAGCAGCATGCCGCTATCAACAAGTTCCTACAAGGGGAACTTGCCGTCGAAAGACAGAAGATAGCCTTGCTACAGCAGCAAGGCTCTCATCAGTCGATGGGTGGGCCGACGCACATGCGTCGACCCGAAACCTTGAAGATTGATATCTCAAGGTACAAGGGAACCGATGAATATTCCCTTTTGAGATGGTTCGTCGAGTTAGACGATGCCATCAGGCTCCGTCACATCGAGTGTGACGAGATGCAAGTCACCTTCTCCCTGTCAAATCTGACGGGACGAGAAAAGACTTGGGCTTTAGGGCTCAAGCTTCACGACCCAAACGTGTTTGAGTCGTTGGTGATCTTGAAGTCTCGGCTTAAAGAGACGTTTGAGCCGCCGAGAGCCGAGTTCAGAGCACGCTCTGCACTCTTGAGGCTAAAGCAAGGTAAGCGTGACGTGCAGGCTTACGCACAGCACCTGCGCTACCTTGCGAGTAGCGTTACGGATAACCCTGTTGATGATCACACGCTCATCAACGTGTTCATCTACGGCCTTGTAGACGGGCCGGTGAAGACCTACATGTTCCGAGAGGACTTCCATACGCTGGAAAGGGAGATAGCGTATGCGGAACAAGAAGACTTCAGCCTGACACAGTCTCAGGCTAACGCGTCCAACTATCGTCCGACGAAACGACAGGAAACAAGAGGTCCCAAACCAACGGACCTCTGCTACATCGAGATCGAGAACTCTCGCTCTCTGAGTCACAAGCGAACGGCAAGATGCCATCGCTGTTAGAAGATTGGACACTACGCTCGTGAATGTAGTGTCCCAAGCACCGCAACACGTCCAAAGACGGAGCGTGATGACCGCCGTTGGCCAAGGAAAGGTACGAGGCGTGGGTCCGACCATGTCGCTAAGCCGCAACAAAAAGTCGGATCGCCAAAAAACGGACAGGGTCAGTAGGGGCGGAGCACCCTGCTGATCCAGCAACGTCAAGGGAATTTGCAGGACTCTTGACGAAGATTGTTCCTAACACACAGTCGTTGTGTGTTACTGCCCCTAGTAATGAGGTGTCCCTCATCACTTTGAAGATCGAAGTGACAAGTGGAATTTTACTTCGCGCCCTAGTTGACTGTGAGGCGTCGAACAATTTATTGACGCCAGTCGCTAGGGGATAGTAGACCCAACAATGTTGAGCGAGAGTTCCCTCCAACGAAGATGACGGTATGCCTTGCTACAGGCGTATCCGTAACAGTGAACAAACTTGCAGTAGGAATCTACTACATGCTAGAAGGAAAGCAGTACGATGATGACGTCGTCGTACTGGATTTAGATGACAAACTTGACGTCACCCTCGGTCTGTCATGGCTTAGAAAATACCATCCATAGGTCAGCTGGAAGCATCGATCCGTGAAGATGCCTGCCGTTTGTTCATCAGATGGTCATCCGATGAACGTCTTGGAGCGTCCACAAGCGTGTGTATGTACTATGAGTGAGTGCGATGGCCTTGCTTGTGGTACGGTCGTTAATACGACTGCACAAAATCACTGTGTAGAAGGTCACTGCCATGTGGAACCTGCTTCCGGTATCTGTGTAGAGACACAGGCTGCGCCGAAGGTTCACCACTCGAAGAGATCGAGTGGACTGGAACACGGATGCACACCAAGAAGGGTGCATCCGAGAAGAGAGATTAGTGTTGTTCATGCTGAACAACACGTTGAAGCAAGATCGACTATCAGAGAGTCGATCGTAGAGCAAGCTCGATCGACTAAAAGAGAGTCGATCGAAGAGGACATGACTGTGGTAGTACACCCACAGTCAGTACACGTAATGGAAGAAAGTTCCAGCGTTCCTGAGAGTGATAACTCCCGAGAGAGATATGTTGAGGGTGTGGATCCCCAACCACCTGCGGATGTGTTTTCCCAGGAAATCACCGAGACAGTGAATGTCTTGGTAAGTGACGGATCAAGTGTAAACGCTTATACACTTGATCTGGTTACACCTCCGAAGTCAGCTTTGGAGGTAGTCAAGTTGCCAACGCTAGAATCTAAAAGATTCTTGCGAGATCTGCGTAGTGACAAGATCAAGCAGATCTGCGTACTCGTCACAGAGGACGGGTACGTCACCGATATACGTCCGGCACAAGCGTTTGCTGAGAACGAACTGGTTCTCAGTAGCTCATCGATGGACGAGAGTGTCATCGATGAGAAGACTCGGATTGAGCGATACACGTCTCAATATTGGGAGTCTTTGAAGACAAATCCTTTGTATAAGGATTTGGTTGAATTCAGGGATGTTTCCCTGAATCCGTGCCATGCGAGCTGCCTAAGGACAAAGGCACTCGGCATGAGATTGAACTGAAACCCGGTTCAAAGTACTGTGTCATTAAGCAGTGGCCACTGCCTCGTGAACAGGTCACAGCGATCGACAAACTCTTTGCCGATCGCTTAGCGGCTGGTCATGTGAGGAAGTCAACATCCCCACGCAGCTCTCCTACCTTCTGTGTGCGAAAGGCCACAGGAGGGTGGCGGATAGTGCACGCGCTCAACAAATTGAACGCTGCAACGGTACCGGCTCAAACGCCGATACCGAGGAAGGACGTCATCATTGATGGTATGGCAAAAAGTACCATCTTTTCGTCCATGGATCTGATGGATGGATTCTATCAGATCCTCATGCGTGAACGGGACATCCCATACACAGCAGTGAGCACCCCCAGTGGTATGCTCTGGGAGTGGCTAGTGATGCCACATGGGATAAGTAACGCCCCTGCAACGTTCACAGATGTGTTACAAATTTGTTGCGATCCGTGCGACATTTTGCACCAAGTCACTTCGACGATTTCTTCGTCCATAGCCGGGCTATGGATGGAAAGACGGACGTGGAGGTTCATAGAATCCACGTCCAGAAAGTTTTTACACTCATGCGAGAGCACAAGTTGTTCGCGAACCTCAAGAAGTGTATATTCGCAGCGGACGAAAAACCCTTTCTTGGCTGCATCGCGGGTAAAAACGGCGTACACCCTGATCTGAAACGATCAAGGCGAGTAGCTACTGGCCTATACCAGTCGACGTCAAGGGACTTCGAAAGTCCCTTGGCTTAGCGGCGTAATTGCACAAGTATTCGCGCAACTACGCCGAGATGACCGCACATATTTCTCGTTTTCGTTAAGGAAAAACGAGAGGTGGTCATGGAGTGCTGAGTGTCAGCACTCCTTTGAAGCTATCAAGAAAAGCTTGATACAATCGCATGTGTTGGCGATTGCAGAACAGGACAAACTATTCCATGTGGTCTGTGACGCCAGCGATTTTTCGATCGGCTGCGCGTTAATGCAGTACGGTTCAGACGGCGTTGAGCGCTTCGTCTGTTATCAATCGCGTCAGCTGCAAGCAGCTGAGCGTAATTACCCAGTGCATGACAAGGAACCCCTTGCCATGAAATATGCACTGGCTAAGTTTCGGGTAACATCTCTTAGGAGATAGGCCCTTCATCGTTTTTGCCAACCATGCGTCGTTACGAACGGCCGTAAACAGTTCACACCTCTCGCAACGAATGGCGATATAGCTGTCTTTATTCGCGGAATACAAATTCTCCGTCGAGTACAAACCAGGACGAATTAATGTCGTCGCTGATGCTCTTTCGCGTCGACCTGATTTCGTGCCGACTGCTCAACACACAGTAGGGGTAATCCCACTGTAGCGACACTATCAGTGAGTGTTCCGTCGTCGAATATGCTCGACGACGGGCAGAAGGCATACGCAGAAGATGAGTCTCTTCTGCGATTGATGGATTACGTGTCTAATCCATGCAGTCAAGCTTTGAAGAGCTTGACGTCTCAATAACGATCTTCAACCGAACGGTATTCGGTTCTTGATGGACTGCTGTACTATACAGCAGTCACCGGCAGACAGGCCTCGTGTCGTCGTTCCCACCCATGATGATTTACGATTGCGCATCATGTATGAGTGTCACGATGCCCCAACGAGTGGGAATCGCGGTAGAGAAAGGACTTATCTCACGGTAAGTCGTGACTTGTACCGGCCCCGCCAGAATGATTTTGTGCACGAATACATTCGCGCTTGCGAAGTTTGTCAACGGGTGAAGCCTAGTCCTTCATTCCGCGCACCCTTGCAGCTCCTAACGATTCCGGCAGAGTGTTGGCATTCCGTATCGATGGACTTCGTCTTTGGGTTTCCCAAAGATGTTCACAAGAATACTGGTATTCTTGTGTTTGTTGATCGGTTCACCAAGATTATACATCTTGTTGCTGTACCGGAGTCAATCACAGCCCAGGGCTGTGCTCGTGTCTTCATCGATACTATCTTCCAATTTCACGTGTTACCCCGTGAACTCGTGTCTGAAGGGGCCCCGCTTTACGGCGGAGTTCTGGAAATCCGTGTTCCGTTCACTTAGAACACGTTTGAAGATGTCGACTTCTGACCATCCAGAAACAGATGGTCAGACGAAACGCGTCAACCGCGTCCTCGAACAGATACTTCAAGGGTATGTCCACTCGTTTACGAGTCGGAGTGATTCTTGCCGATGGCAGAATTCGCCATCAACAACTCGGTGCACGCGTCTACAACGCATGCACCGTTCTTCGGGTTTACCGTTTTCCGGGTTTTCGTGAATGGCCTACGCCATCCGCGTTTGCCCGCCTTCTTAGAGTGTGACTCTAGGCTAAGGGGGTGGACTCGCTCGAACAACCCGATCTGGTTTCTTGCTCATCACCCGTCGACAATGGTGTCGACGTGATGGATGCCGATGTCGATTACATCGACACCGATGATGATGATGACGACGATGCTGGTTTATTCAGCATCGCCAAAGACTGTCACAGTGAGGAAGAAGACGCCCTCACTTGTGAAGACAACGTTCTTTCAGCATTGCACACGAAGCGCACTGCTGTTAACAAGGATGAAACAGCAGAGGAATTTCTGCTGACTCACTAAGCGGTAGTTCGCTTTGTTCAAGACTTTATTATTGCAGATGCACTAGAAAAACAGAAAAGAAACGCATACAAACATGGAAGAGCAAATGTTCTTTCATTCAATGAAGGAGACTTATTTTACTGTCTACAGCCATTTTATGAAAACACGCAGTGACAAAAGTGGGCAGCAGTAAATTACTGCCCAAGTACATTGGTCCATTTAGTGTGTTGCGCCGAATGGGCAACGCATACACGATTAAACTGTCTAGTGGTATGCGTACGCATCCTACGTGTTACGTTGGACGTCTCCGCCCGTACTATCAGTACTAGCCCATTTAGAGAGGCGAAGAACACCTCCGCGGTCAAGGGCCGAGATCACCTTCGAGTGGTCCCATTCCAACGAGCCAGTCAGGTCGACTAGCGAATCAACCTGCTCATGCAGTTGATCGATGTCTCGACGAGCTGCAGCCAGCTCGTCACGAAGAGAAAGAATCGAACGTTCGTTCTCAAGTTGCGCGAACGCAAACGCGGCATGATCGTTCGAACGATCGTGCGCTAAGGAATTGTAATTATCCCTTACAAGGTTGTGGAGCTCATAACGCCGAGTCCGTTCATGAGACAGGTCATCTTTCAACTGTTCCGTTACACGGTTCAGTTCCTGAACATCAAGCTGATCCGAACCTCGAGCCGGATCAGGTGTTCCCGCCACCACCACATCCTTTGGTGGATTCTGGCGGCGGTCAACGCTTTCTGGTGTATCGTATCTTGAACCACCGCGACGTGAATGGCGTCCGGACGAGTTATCTCGTCCGCTGGCGTGGCTATCCACTGGTCTGGGACAGCTGCGAGACTCGTGTCCAGATGGTTGTTGATGTTCCGGGTCTCGTCGAGTAGTATGACGAGACCCACCCGCTGCGTTTGAAGAAGGGCCATCGGAAAACGACTTCCCGAAACGCGAGTACAGGGATTGCAAAGTGTCAATTCATTCGGCCATCTCAGATGAGATGCGCTCCCTCCAGTAGGGATCATTAGGGAGGTGGGCCTCCCTAGGGGCACGGTTCGAGCTGTCCAGGCAACCTGGACACGAATCACCCCACGAGAGACAGGGTAACCCTGCCTCTCTGGACAGTACGTGCAGCTTGTATCGCACCCCGGATGGGTTATGCTTCTCAAACTGATGCGATCTGCATCAAGTTTACCGAGCTAGGCCTCACGGCCAATGCACTCGATGTTGTGGATGAAGGCATTCCATCCTTGCACCAAGGCCTTTCCGTCTCGAACACGGTTGCCGTTGTGCCACCGATGCTTGAATAACTCTTCCTCAGAAAAGATAGTTTCCGTGCTGGAATTAGGAGGACAGATCCTCCTACAATCGTACAACGGGATTCGATCCCGATCGGTAGTCATACCGGCCAACCTGTCCAACTCCTTGGATGCTGTCACCCAAGGAAACTCCACTTAAGGAGCGTGGCGCAGGACATTTCGATCCCTGGCCTCTTGATTCGTGTCAGCATGAGCACTGATACCAGTGACACCTCGATCCCTCGCGTAACTTCGCTCGTGGTTATGCATAGGTGCATCACCACCATCCCCACGCGTCCTATCACTGGATGGACTCGCGTGAGGCGAGGGTTCGTCGGAACAATCTCTCAATCCGAAGATATCGAGCATGATGCCGCCACGTTGAAAGAGCCAGTCAACCTGGCTCTTGCAGTGTCCGCACGGGTGACCCGGAGGCGTGAGGTGTCGCCTTCGAGTCGGATACATCATCCGACTGGCCAAAATAGATGAGCTCTATTTCAGGCTCATCCGCATTGCGATTCATAGCACCCGCTGCAGACGCAGCGGATGTACCTGTCGCACGTGTTGACTCACCACGTGGACTGCTCGCAACAGGCACATCCTGTTGATGAATCGCAACAGCAGCCGAAGCATCACCTGCTGCTGAAGAAAGGGAAAAAGTCAATACGGCTGCACGCATGCGTGCAACCGCTTACACTTGCCCAGGTTATGCTCAGCTGTTCGTCAGGCATTTGTAGTACACCCTGTCGCTTAGGGTATTGGCGGCTAATTGTGAGGGGTCGACAAACAAGCGCCCCTTTTTCAAGGTTGGCCAACGGTGGTTACCCTGTCCCAAGTAATTTTGTTCAGCTCACCGTGTGTTGATGCTAAGGGGGGTTGATGTAACAGGGCAGCCCGTTACATGAAATTGACACCAAACGGTGTCATTAGGAATATTGTCTAGCATGACAATATCCCACCAATGTTATTCGAGATGGATAATTTTGAAGGAAAATGATCCCCTGTTAGGATACTATTCATGCGCTGCTCCAAGATTGGTCGATAAAAGACATATCAACCATAGATTACCACCAATCGCTGCTAGACGCACGCAATGAGTGGTGAGCAGGTTGTCGTCATACGACGACGTAGTTTATTGTAGTAAGATGAAGACTGAAGTCATTTTGATAGCTTAACTATATTTAATTCAGTTCTCTTTTCACCCTTCACTCAGCTTAGTTGTTGAAAAAATAAGCTTCCTCTGCACGTACTAGTTTACGTGTACTAGTGTACGTGAAGTTTCGTGGCACCCAGACAAAGGGTGCCTTGTTACAGCGAATGTGTCTCGTTAATCTTCCTGTCGGGATTTACTTCCTCCTTTTTATCATTCGATTGCAACAAGCAGCCAGAGGATGTTTATTCTGTCCGTGCAAGCAACAAACAAAGAATATTTGCGTCTACGTGACCTGGCCGAGCTCGAGGAAAGGTCTGCTCTAGCTGACACTTTTCTAACTCCTCGTTTAGTCGCCACTTTGGCTCTTTAGACGGGAGTATCTCGTTGAAACGTGCTACAATATCACGACGATACAAACACTTAGTCCTTCTTTATCTTTGTAACGGGGCACCCTTTGTCTGGGTGCCACGAAACTTCACGTAAACTAGTACGTGCAGAGGAAGTTAATTTGCTCAATAACTAAGCTGAGCGAAGGGTGAAAAGAGAACTGAATTAAATATAGTTAAGCTATCAAAATGACTTCAGTCTTCATCTTACTACAATAAACTACGTCGTCGTATGACGACAACCTGTTCACCACTCATTGCGCGCGTCTAGCAGCGATTAGTGGTAACCTTGGTGATATGTCTTTTATCAACCAATCTTGGAGCAGCACATGAATAGTATCCTAACAGGGGATCATTTTCCTTCAAAATTATGCATCTCAAAAACATTGGTAAGATATTGTCATGCTAGACAATATCCCTATTGACACCGTTTGGTGTCAATTTCATGTAACGGGCTGCCCCGTTACATCACCCCCCCCTAACCATCAATCACCCGTTGATTGAATAAAATTAATTGGGACAGGGTAACTACCGTTGGCCCACTTTGGGAAAGGGAGCACTTGTTGGTCAATTCCATTCATTTGCCAATTTATCGCATGGTTTATATCCATTCGATGTGCTGCCGAGCAGCAATATAAGCGTTTGCACGCATGCGTGCAGCCGTATAGATTTTTTCTCTTGCTTCAGCAGCAGGTGATGCTTCGGCTGCTGTTGCGATTCATCAACAGGAGGTGCCTGATGCGAACAGTCTACGGGGTGAGTCATCACGTGCTACAGGTACATCCGCTGCGTCTGCAGCGGGTGCTATGAATCGCATTGCGGATGAGCCTGAAATAGAGCTCATCTATTCTGGCCAGTCGGATGATGTATTCGACTCGAAGGCGACTCCTCACGCCTCCGGGTCACCCGTGCGGACACTGCAAGAGCCAGGTTGACTGGCTCTGTCAACGTGGCGGCATCATGCTCGAGATCTTTGGATTATGAGATTGTTCCGACGAACCCTCGCCTCACGCGAGTCCATCCAGTGATAGGACGCGTGGGGATGGTGGTGATGCACCTATGCATCACCACGAGCGAAGTTACTCGAGGGATCGAGGAGTCACTGGTATCAGTGCTCATGCTGACACCAATCAAGAGGCCAGGGATCGAAATGTTCTGCGCCACGCTCCTCAAGTGGAGTTTCCTTGGATGACGGCATCCAAGGAGTTGGACAGGTTGGCCGGTATGACTACCGATCGGGATCGAATCCCGTTGTACGATTGTAGGAGGATTTGTCCTCCTAATTCCAGCATGGAAACTATCTGTGCTGAGGAAGAGTTATTCAAGCATCGGTGGTACAATGGCAACCGTGTTCGAGACGGAAAGGACTTGGTGCAAGGATGGAATGCCTTCATCCACAACATCGAGTGAACTGGACGTGAGACCTGGCTCGGTAAACTTGATGCAGATCGCATCAGGTTTGAGAAGCGTAACCCAGTCGGGGTGCGATACAAGCTGCACGTACTGTCCAGAGAGGCAGGGTTACCCTGTCTCTCGTGGGGTGATTCGTGTCCAGGTTGCCTGGACAGATCGAACCGTGCCCTTAGGAAGGCCTACCTTCCTAATGATCCCTACTGGAGGGAGCGCATCTCATCTGAGATGGCCGAATGAATTGACACTTTGCAATCCCTGTACTCGCGTTTCGGGAAGTCTTTTTCCGACGGCCCTTCTTCAAACGCAGCGGGTGGGTCTCGTCATACTACTCGACGAGACCCGGAACATCAACAATCATCTGGACACGAGGCTCGCAGCTTTCCCAGACCGGTGGATAGCTACGCCAGCAGACGAGATAACTCGTCCGGATGCCATTCACGTCGCGGTGGTTCAAGATACGATAGACCAGAAAGCGTTGACCGCCGCCAGAATCCACCAAAGGATGTGGTGGTGGCGGGAACACCTGATCCGGCTCGAGTTTCGGATCAGCTTGATGTTCAGGAGCTGAACCGTGTAACGGAACAGTTGAAAGATGATCTGTCTCATGAACGGACTCGGCGTTATGAGCTCCATAACCTTGTAAGGGATAATTACAATTCCCTAGCGCACGATCGTTCGAACGATCGTGCCGCGCTTGCGTTCGCGCAACTTGAGAACGAACGTTCGATTCTTTCTCTTCATGAAGAGCTGGCCGCAACTCGTCGAGACAACGATCAACTGCATGAGCAGGTTGCTTCGCTAGTCGACCATACTGGCTCGCTGAAATGGGACCACTCGAAGGTGGTCTCGGCCCTTGACCGCGGAGGTGTTCTTCGCTTCTCTAAATGGGCTAGTACTAATATTACGGGCGGAGACGTCCGACGTAACACGTAGGATGCGTGCGCATACCACTAGACAGTTCAATCGTGTATGCGTTGCCCATTCGGCGCAACACACTAAATGGACCGATAAACTTGGGCAGTAATTTACTGCTGCCCACTTTTCTCACTGCGTGTTTTCATAAATTGACTGTAGACAGTAAAACTAAGTCTCCTTCATTGAATGAAAGAACATTTGCTCTTCCATGTTTTTCTGCATTTCTTTTCTGTTTTTCTAGTGCATCTGCAATAGAGTCTTGAACAAAGCGAACTACCGCTTAGTGAGTCAGCAGAAATTACTCTGCTGTTTCATCCTTGTTAACAGCAGTGCGCTTCGTGCGCACTGCTGAAAGAACGTTGTCTTCACAAGTGAGGGCATCTTCGTCCTCACTGTGACAGTCTTTGGCGATGCTGAATAAACCAGCATCGTCGTCATCATCATCATCGGTGTCGATGTAATCGACATCGGCATCCATCACGTCGACACCATTGTCGACGGGTGGTGAGCAAGAAACCAGATCGGGTTGTTCGAGCGAGTCCACCCCCTTAAACTAGAGTCACACTCTAAGAAGGCGGGCAAACGTGGATGGCGTAGGCCATTCACGAAAACCCGGAGAACGGTAAACCCGAAAAACGGTGCATGCGTTGTAGATGCGTGCACCGAGTTATTGATGGCGAATTCCGCCAACGGCAAGAATCACTCCAACTCGTAAACGAGTGGACATACCCTTGAAGTATCTCTTCGAGGACGCGGTTGACGCGTTCCGTCCGACCATCTGTTTCTGGATGGTCAGAAGTTGACATCTTCAAACGTGTTCTAAGTGAACGGAACACGAATTTCCAGAACTCCGCCGTAAAGCGGGGCCCCTTTCAGACACGAGTTCACGGGTTAAAACGTGAAATTGGAAGATAGTATCGATGAAGACACGAGCACAGTCCTGGGCTGTGATTGACTCTGGTACAGCAACAAGATGTACAATCTTGGTGAACCGATCAACAAACACAAGAATACCAGTATTCTTGTGAACGTCTTTGGGAAACCCAAAATGAAGTCCATCGATACGGACTGCCAACAATCTGCCGGAATCGTTAGAGGCTGCAAGGGTGCGCGGGATGAAGGACTAGGCTTCACCCGTTGACAAACTTCGCAAGCGCGAATGTATTTGCGCACAAACTCATTCTGGCGGGGCCAGTACAAGTCACGACTTACCGTGAGATAAGTCTTTTCTCTACCGCGATGCCCACTTTTTGGGGCATCGTGACACTCATACATGATGCGCAATCGTAAATCATCATGGGCGGGAACGACGACACGAGGCCTGTCGCCGGTGACTGCTGTAGAGTACAGCAGTCCACAAGAACCGAATACCGTTCGGTTGAAGATCGTTATTGAGACTTCAAGCTCTTCAAAGCTTAAATGCATGGTTTAGACACGTAATCCATCAATCGCAGAAGAGACTCATCTTCTGCGTATGCCTTCTGCCCGTCGTCGAGCATATTCGACGACAGAACACTCACTGATAGTGTCGCTACAGTGGGATTACCCCTACTGTGTGTTGAGCAGTCGGCACGAAATCAGGTCGACGCGAAAGAGCATCAGCGACGACATTAATTCGTCCTGGTTTGTACTCGACGGAGAAGTTGTATTCCGCGAATAAAGACAGCCATATCGCCATTCGTTGCGAGAGGTGTGGACTGTTTACGGCCGTGCGTAACGACGCATGGTTGGCATAAACGATGAAGGGCCTATCTCCTAAGAGATGTACCCGAAACTTAGCCAGTGCATATTTCATGGCAAGGAGTTCCTTGTCATGCACTGGGTAATTACGCTCAGCTGCTCGCAGCTGACGCGATTGATAACAGACGAAGCGCTCAACGCCGTCTGAATCGTACTGCATTAACGCGCAGCCGATTGAAAAATCGCTGGCGTCACAGACCACATGGAATAGTTTGTCCTGTTCTGTAATTGCCAACACAGGCGATTGTATCAAGCTTTTCTTGATAGCTTCAAAGGAGTGCTGACACTCAGCACTCCATGACCACCTCTCGTTTTTTTATAAAAAAAGGAGAAAGATGTGCGGTTATCTCGGCGTAGTTGCGCGAATACTTGTGCAATTACGCCGCTAAGCCAAGGAACTTTCGAAGTCCCTTGACGTAGACTGGTATGGGCCAGTAGCTACTCGCCTTGATCATTTCAGATCAGGGTGTACGCCGTTTTTACCCACGATGCAGCCAAGAAGGGGCAATTCGTCCGCTGCGAATATACACTTCTTGAGGTTCGCGAACAACTTGTGCTCTCGCATGAGTGTAAAAACTTTCTGGACGTGCATTCTATGAACCTCCACGTCCGTCTTTCCATCCATAGCCCGGCTATGGACGAAGAAATCGTCGAAGTGACTCGGTGCAAAATGTCGCACCGATCGCAACAGATTCGTAACACATCTGTTGAACGTTGCAGGGGCATTACTTATCTCCTGTGGCATCACTAGCCACTCCCAGAGCATACCACTGGGAGTGCTCACTACTGTATATGGGATGTCCCGTTCACGCATGAGGATCTGATAGAATCCATCCATCAGATCCGTGGACGAAACGATGGTACTTTTTGCCATACCATCAATGATGACGTCCTTCCTCGGTATCGGCGTTTGAGCCGGTACCGTTGCAGCGTTCAATTTGTTGAACGCGTGCACTATCCGCCACCCTCCTGTGGTCTTTCGCACACAGAAGGTAGGAGAGCTGCGTGGGGATGCTGATTCCCTCACATGACCAGCCGCTAAGCGATCGGCAAAGAGTTTGTCGATCGCTGTGACCTGTTCACGAGGCAGTGGCCAGTGCTTAATGACACAGTACTTTGAACCGGGTTTCAGTTCAATCTCATGCCGATTGCCTTTGTCCTTAAGCAGCTTGCATGGCACGGATTCAGGGAAAACATCCCTGAATTCAACCAAATCCTTATACAAAGGATTTGTCTTCAATGACTCCCAAGATTGAGACGTGTATCGCTCAATCCGAGTCTTCTCATAGATGACACTCTCGTCCATCGATGAGCTACTGAGAACCAGTTCGTTCTTAGCAAATGCTTGCGCCAGCCGAATATTGGTGACGTACCCGTCCTCTTTGACGAGTACGCAGATCTGCTTAATATTGTCACTACGCAGATCTCGCAAGAATCTTTAATGTTCTAGCGTTGGCAACTTGATTACCTCCGAAGCTGACTTCGGAGGTGTAACCAGATCAAGTGTATAAGCGCCTACACTTGATCCGTCATTTACCAAGACATTCAATGTCTCAGTGATTTCCTGGGAAAACACATCCGCAGGTGTTTGGGGATCCACACCCTCAACATAACTCTCTCGGGAGTTATTACTCTCAGGAACGCTGGAGCTTTCTTCCATTACGTGTACTGACTGTGGGTGTACAACCACAGTCATGTCCTCTTCGATCGACTCTCTTTCAGTCGATCGGGCTTGCTCTACGATCGAATCTCTGATAGTCGATCTTGCTTCAACGTGTTGTTCATGCTGAACAACACTAATCTCTCTTCTCGGATGCACCCTTCTTGGTGTGCATCCGTGTTCCAGTCCACTCGATCTCTTCGAGTGGTGAACCTCCGGCGCAGCCTGTGTCTCTACACAGATACCGGAAGCAGGTTCCACATGGTAGTGGCCTTCTACACAGTGATTTTGTGCAGTCGTACTAACGACCGTACCACAACTGAGGCTATCGCACTCACTCGTAGTACATCCACACGCTTGTGGACGCTCCAAGACGTTCATCGGATGACCATCTGATGAACAAACGGCAGGCAATCTTCACGGATCGATGCTTACAGCTGACCCATGGATGGTATTTTCTAAGCCATGACTGACCGAGGGTGACGTCAAATTTGTCATCTAAATCCCGTACGATGAAATCATCATCGTACGGCTTTCCTTCTAGCATGTAGTAGATTCCTACTGCAAGTTTGTTCACTGTTACGGATACGCCTGTAGCAAGGCATACCGTCATCTTCGTTGGAGGGAACTCTCGCTCAACATTGTTGAGTCAATTATCCCCTAGCGACTGGCGTCAATAAAATTGTTTGACGCCTCACAGTCAACTAGGGCGCGAAGTAAAATTCCACTTGTCACTTCGATCTTCAAAGTGATGAGGTACACCTCATCACTAGGGGCAGTAACACACAACGGCTGTGTGTTAGGAACAATCTTCGTCAAGATTCCTGCAAATTCTCTTGACGTTGCTGGATCAGCAGGGTGCTCCGCCCCTACTGACCCTGTCTGTTTTTTGGCGATCCGAATTTCTGTTGCGGCTTAGCGACATGGTCGAAACCACGCCTCGGGCCTTTCCCTGGCCAATGGCGGTCATCACGCTCAGTCTTTGGACGTGTTGCGGTGCTTGGGACACCACATTCACGAGCGTAGTGTCCAATCTTCTAACAGCGATGGCATCTTGCCGTTCGATTGTGACTCAGAGAGCGAGAGTTCTCGCTCTCGATGTAACAGAGGTCCACTGGTTCGGGACCTCTTGTTTCCTGTCGTTTCATCGGACGATAGTTGGACGAGTTGTCCTGAGACTGTGTCAGGCTGAAGTCTTCTTGTTCCGCATACGCTATCGCCTTTTCCAGCGTATGGAAGTCCTCTCGGAACATGTCACGCTTACCTTGCTTTAGCCTCAAGAGTGCAGAGCGTGCTCTGAACTCGGCTCTCGGCGGCTCAATCGTCTCTTTAAGCCGAGACTTCAAAATCTCCAACGACTCAAACACGTTTGGGTCGTGAAGCTTGAGCCCTAAAGCCCAAGTCTTTGATCTATCAGACAAGAGAGAGACGTCACAGAGTCCCTCGTTACGCCAATTCCGCGTCAGTTGAGCGGACAGTAGCCACATCAGTAACTGACGTCATCGGTCGAGCTGTCGCACGAATTTGTGCAGGGCCTTGAATGAACAGCCTCTATCGCTACGTTGGTCCCAAGATGGCTGGCTTCAATCGGTCAAGTCTCTCTACCATACGCCGTTAGCTGATCATGCTCAAGTACGACGATTTGACCAAAGACGCAGAGGGACAGGTGCTGGCCTTTTGTTATCATCGTGTACGTGGATAAACCTCCAGGGTTGCCCAAGTATGCCGATCCGCAGCGTGTGAAAGTTTTGTAGGCATCAGCCAGGTCTATCAGGGTGATTTATAAGCAGCGGTTTGTATTGAAAGTATGGTTGAAAGTATCGTTGAAGTAATCGATCGATCAGTTGTACATGTTGCTCATGTACGTTACAAGACAACTCCTAGTCTGATTGCAAATCTGAACGGCAGGTCAGAACGAAGAGGCGAAAGTGAAGATGATATGGGAATGCGATGGGCGGTCATAGTTTAAGACGCTGCAAGCATGTCGTAAATCATGATTAAGCGGGCAAAGGGGGACTGTTTTCCAGTCGCCGTTTTCGTGCTCAGCTCGATGCTAACCGAAAAGTCGTAGTAATCGCCGCGTCGGTTGGTGTAACTAACTCAGACATGATTGAAGGGTCGGATACCTCCTGCCCTCTCCAACGAGCATTCGGTGGCATCTGATGATGACATTCGCAGCACTAATTTATAAAGGGCGCATTTTAGAACCAGCACTATCATCGCTGGTATCGAGCGTCTGGCCTTGAACGAAGACACTCGATTGCTCTTGGTACTTGTAGAATTGCTGTCATCTGAAAGTTGGATGCTGTTGTAAGGCAGTTGCGACCAGCATTGCTGTCCGTAAAACACTAACCTAAGTCTTGACTCGAAAAGCGTTGCTTTAAAGCGATCTACATCCTCATCAGTATCATGGCGAAAGCGTGAAACTAATTTGAAGTAAATGTATCTTAAAATGAACACTAGAAGAGGCAATCCACTATCAAGGCGTCATCTCGGTAAGCGCTAATATTTGCTGTAGCTCAAGTTACTAGCGTCAGAACTTACGCAGTTGATGAAGCTCGATTTAGTTGCTGCTGATATCCATCACCGGGCCTTCCGACATACGTGTGTGTTTATCTTCCACTTATTCGTCTTTGCTGTCATCTCAATGGCTGGGAAATACCACGACTTTCCACTCTGCAAACCCAGATTCATCTAACTACCTTATGCAGTTGGCACCGACGCGGTAATCATGAGTGAGCGATGCAGCTCGCACAAACGCTTGTAATTTTGCAACAACCTTCAGTTTCCTTTGACATACCGCGATAAACAATGCATCCTGATGTTGTCCATCTTGCATCTTTTTTCGGTCGCACTCTATGATTGCACGCAGAAAGTGTGCAGTCGAACGCCTTTTACAGGAGTAGGAAAACACTTAAAACTCTACCACGGTTTCCTCGACGGTGATTTGCTTACCCAGCGTTTTCAAGTCGTTGGATTGTGCACGACGTTATCAGTGTAAGGAAAGTAGCATGTTACAAATGTACTTTAAAACCACTTACACAAAGTGATCTTGTTTCACAATATCATCGATCTTAGAGTTGAAAATAATCACACCTATGAATGGATAAAATTGACGACATTACTGGGGAAGTGACACTTTGGTGACAGTGCCCCGGAATAAACTTGACGAAAAACGAAAAAACGGTAGCCTTGCTTCTCCATAAAGGCTATCGCTAACCGGAGCTGTTGATAGAACTATAAGGTACAGGGGAGCCGAAGAACGCCTTTTATCTGGATGGACGTCTTCGTCGAGTTTAGGGTTGCCATGAGGGATTGTGGCATCGTCGTTTAGGAAATGCGAGTAGCACTATCTCAGTCGAGCTTGGAAGGTAGTGGCTAGACTTGGGTCCCAGGGCTTGAGCTTCACGGCATTTAGCTCAGATGTCGTTAGTTTACGACTTGCAAGTGTGGATGGACTTTAGAGGCAAAGAATCCTCTTTGCCGGCATATGGTACATGTCATGCAACGATACCGCCTCCACCCCAATTCCACACCGCAAAGTAGCCTGTGAGATAGACCCTCGAAAATATGGAGGACGAACCGGACGTGAAAAGGCTAACACGTGCACAACAAGGAGCATAGAGGTTAAATAAGCTCATAAAAGTGCGGAGCCTGCCATCACTGTTTTTCATATCACGACACCTAGAGTTGTCGAGCAACATAGCCTGTGGTCGTTTCTTCCCTCTCCAGTACCTGCGGACAGTTAATATTGGCGTGTCCTAGCTGGGTGGCTTGACACCTACTCGCCGAGTATTTATGAGTGTAATGTGAAGTGCGAACCCATACGAACTCGAAACAGCCACTGTATTTGCGGTACAACTTGCGTGCCCTGATGAAGGGTCAAGCGGCCGTCTCGAGATGAATTGTGGACAATTCAACTGTGTGTGTACTTGTAACACGATACTCGACTGGACGGCTGTGGACGTCTCAGTAGATATTGAGCTTCCGCGCTCGCTGGGCTGCTCACGTCGATCTAAGGAGCTGGCCACTTCACGGCGCTGTTCACTTTACAGCGCTGGCAATCTGTAGAAGACGAAGTAAATAACGACAGTGCATGGAAATACTACTGCACATGTACTACCTAACTCGTGAACGCGCAATTTAGCACCTGTCCTTCTCTTATTGTGAGACCTGTCCTTCTCTTGTTGAGATTTGCCGTAAGCACTCACAAACTCACTGCAATTGCACAACCAACAGTGGTGTAACCATTAATTCCATGCGGTATGTCGAAGCCTACGATTGCGTGTTGACCTTTTCGGCGTCATACGAGGCGGTCAATCATGCACAGCTCGTTTGACGGAGAAAGGACAGACATGTAGATGATACCAAGGAGCACCTTTGTCACCACGTAGAATGGAGGAACCACCACGATATTCAACAGGAACGTGGCCTGTTCTTCTGCTGCGATACTTACGCGTGGTTCCAAAGTGCATGACATGAATGACTACTCGAAGACCAATGCATGCCCAAAAGAGCGAGGTACAGCGAAAGGAGCGGCTACCTTGCCTCAAAGTGCACATGACTAGTTACTCCAGACAGGTGTTGCTTCAACCACGAAGCAATCAATCAGGCGTGCAAGGGCGAGACCAATATCTTTAGCACAGGTTCCTACTTCACGTGCATGCTAAATGTGGGTTGTAATTGGCTCCTTGCAACACGGTGGTAGTTTGCGAAGGGTTCCTATCATGAACAACCGCTCAGTTTATGCAGCCAACAGCAGTATGGTTGGCCATGGAGGAGGACGCAACAACTGTGGCAGATTTGGCTGCAAGAGCGGACAAGACACACACGAACGACATCTCACGGGTCTCGCCCTCACACATGCTACAACTTACGAGAAGGATCAGGCCAGCGGACTGGACTTGAATCTGCTGTCCATCACTTGTGATCAGACCCTCAGGATATCATCTATCATCTCCTTCTTTCAGTACCAACCAGTACACAAACACATCCCGTATCGACACATCCCGTATCGACACTCAACCTACTTCTGCGTCTCCATCGTTCACTTGGCAAATGACACATCGCCGTAGCGACCATCATCAACACGCGTTTCACACCAGCCACCCATTACACACCCACCTCTCTTCTTCTCCTGTGAAACAACATACTGACAACTCCAAAACGCATACCGAGGACGCCAAAACACATACCGACTCCTCTGCTTGAGTGACCGGTCACTACCGTCGTCACGGCGGCAGACCGACCCCTCTGCTTGAGTGACCAGTCACTACCGTCGTCATGGCGGCACCCTCGGCGCTGACGCTATGGGCGAGTCGCGACGTGACGTCCATCGTGCTGTCGTCTGGCTGCGACTCCATCGACGCGCTGCTCGACGGCGGCTTTCGCTCGGGTTTGCTGACTGAAGTCTGCGGCGAAGCTGGTGCTGGGAAGACGCAGGTGGGTCTCCAGTTGTTACTTCAGTGCCGTCTGCCGCGCTCCCTCGGGGGGCTGCAAGGCACAGCGTGTTACATCTGCACGGAAGGCGTCATGTCCATCAAACGACTGCACGAGCTGGCGCACGTCTATGCACGGCGACATGTCAAAGCGGCTGTTTTCGGTGGAACGGGGAAACGGAAACGCCGTGAAGTAACGCCTACGGTCGCACCCAGCGACTTCCTGGACGGGATCTTCGTCGAGCAACTTTACACCGTCACCGACCTTTTGCGTCTTCTGGTCCGTTTCTGTGCAAAAAAAGAACCTCAACAAGCAAACACGACGTTGCAGCACTTGATTGCGTCACTTCACCGAACTGACTCTCTGTGTAATCATCCTGTGCTGCAATGATCTTTTGATACGTCCACGTGGATACACAATGGCTGGGACGTAATTAAACAGCAGACGAGACTACCAGCGCTGCTGGCAGAACACAACACCAAGCTCGTTGTACTGGACTCGGTCGCTGCCGTCTTTCGTCTCGAGTCCACGTCGTCTGTCAAGGTAGTGGCTGCGTCCGTCTCTCTTTTGCAGCAGTTGCTGTTGTCTCGGCACGCAGCTGTGTCTCTCTTGGCTGTCGTGCTTGGGGGTTGATGTGGCTGGTAACGAGGGTGTTGAACTTGTTCTGGCGTGTGCTAGGACGCCGCCGAACGCGCCCGCACGATGTTCTATATGGCCAATTGTATGCGCATCCTCAGCGACCAGTATGGCGTCGTGTTCGTGCTGACGAACCAAGTTACGGGCGACTTTGACGCTCGCTCGACGACACATGGGAACGGTCTGCGTCCCGCGCTCGGGCTCTCGTGGTCGCACTGCATCAATCAGCGGTATGCGCGTTGATTTCTTGCGCTTGATGAACAGTGCCAGTATGTGACTGATGTAGTGGTCGTTCGCGTGTCTTTTTTGCAGTCTGATGATTACTAGGAATACAGACACGACGGAACGACAGCTCGAGGTGGTTTTCTCGCCGCACTTAGCGGCAACAACCTGCGTCTTCCACGTCACGACTGACGGCGTCCGACCTGGGAACGAAGACTGATCGACGCATTCAAGTAATGGCTAGCTACTACCATGATGGTATCTGAATCGTCGGGAGTCGCAGAAAGGTGCGCGAAGTGGTGCGATTGACAAGATCGCGATGGTGATCCATTGCGTCGACTTGGTCTCACTATCGCTCGTCTGTCGTCTACATCAGCGTGTGGCCACCTTTTCTTCAATTGCTCGAGTGGGACTTACGACCATCCCTCAGTAGCGCTTGCTGTCGAGCTTCAGAGGTTGCATTCACGATTTATCCGAGTCAAAACAAGACACGTCTACTCTCGTCGTAGAGTGCCTTCTCCCCTGTCAACGCTCTCACGCCACTCGTTGCATCGAACATGGTCTCCGCAATGCAAATGCACCACTCTGCCATGCCTCGACTCAGTTGCTACAACCTCAACAAGTGTGGGATCCGCAGCGGGATGTCCGTGCAGGTAAAGTCAATTGCCGTTGTCAGCTGTTGTCGTAACATGTCGAGGCTGGATTGTTCACGTTCGCTTTTTTCTCTGTTGGTTCATTTGTCAGGAACTAAAATACTTAACCGCGCAGCGCCAGCGTCGTGAATTCTGGGCTTGCATGTCGACACTTCAACTGGCAGTAGCTACTGATGATACGTCCACGTATTCTCCACCATCGACACGCTCGTCGTCGTCGTCGTCGCTATCTGCGTCACCGCCGCCGTGTTATTACAGAGACGGTGCATGCTACTCTGAAATCTACGGCTGCGCGCCTCTTTCCAATCGACGAGGTCTTGCTTCCGACAAGATGTACGTCACGCGTGGTGGACAAGTCATTTCTTTGCTGGCAGGTGTCGTGAACGCTCCATCAGGTGATGTATAACCAGAGAGCTTCAGTCAGTCATCAGGAGAGACTCTGTGAGAGAGGATGCGTATACTATCTGGATGTACGTTGAGGTATTGAGTGAGGTGGGGCCTATCTTGTTGAAGCGAATGAAGCCAGTTGTACGGATCAAAGCATCTGAGCTGTTGGTTGGGTCTGTTCAGCAGTGCTGTTGTTACCTTGTTCCATGCTCTTGCAACGATAGGTTGTCGATGCTACACCATGTGATGGACGATGCATGCGTCTCATCCGCCCTACCAACGAAGATGTCGTCGTTATGGATCCTTGTTCCAAAGTCTGTGGATGTCCTGCTGTTCATGCCGCAAATTTGACAATCCCTTTTTTTATTCGAAACTTACGGGGTATAGTTGAATAGCAGTGCGGCAATCTCAGCACGAAGACCTCTTCTGGAAGGGTTGGTCGCCGCTTTAAGCGTAGCTCTTTGTCGTTTTGCCTGCATATTCACCCTGCTTTCAAGCTTGGAAACCACGATCGAGACCGCTGCGCTTGAGAGTTCACAGATTTGTTAGACGTCATGGCTTCTGGTGAGGACTGGACGTACATGGACACTTTGCGGCCTCCTGTCTACATCTGTTTGCGTCGGAAGATCGACTGTAGCGATGCAGGCTATCGACCTATGAAGCTGGACGGAGAGTACGTTTATCGTTACCTGTTCTTGTTACTTGTACTGCCTCACACTGTATCGTAAACTGCTAGCGTGGACAAGGACGAGTGGAGGCACGTGCCGTGGTCGGAAGCCTTTGTGGACATTGAAGGACGGGAGCGCAAACCCGTCGAGCATCCACTCACGAGGTTCAAAATGATGTACGACGACGAGATGCTGTACATTGCGGCGGAGCTTCTGGAGCCGAAGGTGTGGGGAACAATCACCGAGAAGAACAGCACGTTGTACCATGAGAATGACTTTGAAGTGTTCTTCAATCCGGACGGCAGTCGACACCATTACTAGTAAGTGGAGGTAACAAGATGCATGATGTTCTGACTTTGATTCGTGTGCGGAACTAATTGACTCAACGCTGTGGGCGGTCGATTTGGTTGGTTGTGGGCGTCTTCATGTAGTGAAGTGGAGGTGAACTGTTTGAATACCGTTTGGGAGCTACTACTGCATCGGCCATACAAAGACGGCCATAGCATCGAGAATCCGTTCAACTTGAAGTCATTGCGATCGGCCGTACACGTCGATGGAGTAGCCAACTCACCCGAGACGGACTGCTCGCGCTGGTGTGTTGAAATGAGCTGGTCACTGGCAGAGCTCGAGCAGTTTGACAAGCTGCGTTTTCACGGTGAAGTCTTGCCCAAAGCACCGTCCATTGCAACAGTCGGAGATTTACGGCCCGCTGCAACCACCAATTGCACAGTCGCTGGCAATGTATGGCGCGTCAATTTTTCACGGGTCCAGTACGAGCTTGAGACAGCTGTCGATCCGGACACCCAGCAAGTGCAGTATCAGAAAGTTCGCGACAAGCGCGAGGATAACATCGTGTGGGCTCCTACGGGAGTGATTGACATTCATCGTCCTGAAAGATGGGGCTACGTTCTTTTTAGCAGCGAAGAGGAGCTGGCTGATGGAGAGCTGGAGCTAGCAGGAGCCATGGCGACATATTTGGAGGAACAAATCGCCATTGAACGCGTTCTGGATGCCATCTACTACAAACAACGAGCATTTCACGCCATATACGGCGGCTTTGCCTCGACTATGGAGAGGTTGTACACTAAGCCAGCTCTTCGAACCTCTCTGGATTCGTCAGCGTTGCCGGATGACAACGTCAACGAGTGGACGGATGCATTTCCACTGAGTGAGCTGTTGCACCAGTACCAGCTCGACACTCCAGTGATCTCGTTCGATGGTGATCTCGATACGGACGGTAGATGTCCTGCTGCGTGTGACCAACCGGACGACACCTTCAATACACCTCAAGATTGTTCCACAGCAGCAGGACATCACGATGCAACGACTATTTCGTCGCAATGCTCTCGTTTGCAGACAGGTACAAGCTTATCGGGAAGATGAGCTCTTCTCGAATTATGTGGTAACCGTGCGCAGCTCGACTCAGGAGTGGCATATGACCCATACTGGACGGCTCTGGAGGTCAGCGTGAAGCAATGGTCTATATTACGTGATGATCGGTACGCCGCTACGTTTGGGACGGAAGCGGGTGGTGTATTTGGGTCGGAAGTGGTCATAGCTATCATGTCCATGCTAATGTACCAACGTCCAGGATGTTTACGGCTCTACCAATGTGATGCTGGAAGTGTTACTCATGACGGGAAAGGTATGAGAAGCACTGCATTTTGATACCGTCCAACAGTCCAAGTAAACTAACGAACGCGTCATTAGCTTACGTTGGAATGATCACCGAGCTATTACGTTTTCGCGTTAAACTGTTAGTGACCTTGTCGTATCTTATCGATCCAGTTATCTCTACAATTTGCAAACACCTTGTAGGTTGATGAAAAGGAATCGTTTGTGATATCTCCCTAGGTGTTGCAACCTTTGGCCTAGCTTATCGTTGGTGCAGGACTTGGGCTATTCCGGACTTCACTAACGCAGAATGTAGACCGAATAGGATATGCAACACATGTCCGGCATTCCGAAATGGGATCGGTTGAAGCAGATGTCGATCGCCTTGTTATTCTGTACCATGTAGAAGACGGAAGTAGCAGGGTGGCTTGCCATCACAAATTATGCAAGTGTCACCTATAAGCGGCAGTCGAGCTCAACGTACTGATGCACTGTTGCTCGCGAGATCTGCCAACGTCGTTGCGTTATGACAGCTACACACATCAGTCCTGCGTCGACGTTCCCATCCTCGCAGTCAGCGTAGTCCATTACCTGTGCAAGCATAACAGGACCATTGTGCTTAACAGCCTATAAGTAACATATTCAGGCTGTTTGACGTAGATTGTCTTCACCCGTTCTGGAGAAATTCGGACGAAGACATCGGTTGAATAGGACAGTCGAAGCGCATATACTTCGGCACCTACTGGATGTGCAAACAGGGTAACAGGCGTAAAGACAGCAAGGAACCCGCGTCATGACACTATCGGACATGTCCTAAGTATCCATTTCATTAGATCTGAACGTCAGCGAGTACGGTTTCTACAGCACATCCGGAAACACGACAAAAGGTTGATCAAACCATGGTACCGTGGAAACCGTTTGGCGGCGACAGGCGATCGAGAAGCTGTGAGCAGCACAACATATCTTGTTGATCGAAACCTCCAGAGCTCGAGCTTGCACTACGACTAGCACAAAACGATGAGCGAATTTCCAACAAGAGACCTCACATGTACCGATCACGATGTCGGGAAGAAACGGGATTCACGTGGAAGGCCACCTCGGATCCCGCTCGCCTCTTTACTTCACGGACACAACTCCGCGTCGCCATGACTTGAACGACGGCACGGAATTGATACGTAGACGATGTGATGCATCTAAAGACTGGCAATCGATCTGTAGAGGCGATCAGTTGACGAAGTCTGACCGGAACAGCCATCAATAATCGGCCTTGGATCTCGGATGAACTCCCGCTCTTCGTTTACAATTCTATCGGACAGCTTTGATGAACTGAAGTGAACGAGAATCGGTCCACTGAGAGATCTCAGCACTTCGGCCTCAGTATCATTCCTACGTGGGTAACGTTGAAGGACCGACAAACTTGCTTGAGAGTGTTCAAGCCAACACTTTGTGTACGAAAGATGCACAACCCGCTACATGTGCAACCCACTTGGAAAAGACGTGCTGGTTAGCTTGATACTTGTTAGATACTATCTGGTTGTTTCTCAGCGATGTCGCGTTGCAAGAAACGCGAGCGCTTTACAAGAGCTAGGAAGTCAGATAGCTTGCGATGTATCATCAGCATATCTGCGCGGCTTGCATGCGATATGGAAAGCGGGGCCCTGTTCAATTGCGTCGGCATTCGTAATGTGTATTGCATCTGTTCTGATATCACCTTTTCCCCGAGATGATGCGTTCCGAGATACAGAATGCAACGTGGCCACGCTCAGCTCACATCCATGTTTAGGCACAGCGCGAATCCCAATGTCCGAATCATGCCGTCTAGATACCCGTTACTCTAGAATAGACTCGCTACCGCTGCGGATGTGAACACACTTTTGAGTTCCATCATGAAAAACGGGTATCGGTAGATCGTGTGATAGCGCGAACGAAGCAGCCGTATCCGTGGATCTTTCTCTGTCGAAGTTGCAAGGCACGCATTCATGAGTCGATCGAAAGAATAGGCTGTCGTTAATCCTTGCAAGTCTCGGAAAGTTCTAGCATCAGTGATTTTATTCCATCGCCTGCCGATCCAGAGTAACTCAACTTCTCGATCGCATGGACTCGAATATGAGAGCTTTCTTCCTGATTGCATGTACGTGTCAGCTTGCTTTTCATTCTACGTGTAGCTTTTGAGTGGGACTTGTGAGCGCAGTATCGTCTCGTTCAAACATAGAAACAACTGATTGACATCATCAATCGGTTGCAGTTACATGTAGGACAACAGCTGACCTTGTAAGTATCGAATAAAGAAGGGATTGTCAACTTTGCGGCATGAACAGCAGGACATCCACAGACTTTGGAACAAGGATCCATAACGACGACATCTTTGTTGGTAGTGCGGATGAGACGCATGCATCGTCCATCACATGGTGTAGCATCGACAACCTATCGTTGCAAGAGCATGGAACAAGGTAACAACAGCACTGCTGAACAGACCCAACAAACAGCTCAGGTGCTTTGATTCGTAGAGCTGACTTCATTCGCTTCAACAAGATAGGTCCCACCTCACTCGATACCTCAACGTACATCCAGATAGTATACGCATCCTCTCTCACAGAGTCTCTCCTGATGACTGACTGAAGCTCTCTGGTTATACATCATCTGATGGAGCGTTCACGACACCTGCCAGCAAAGAAATGACTTGCCCACCACGCGTGACGTACATCTTGTCGGAAGCAAGACCTTGTCGATTGGAAAGAGGCGCGCAGCCGTAGATCTCAGAGTAGCATGCACCACCATCTCTGTAATAACACGGCGGCGGTGACGCAGATAGCGACGACGACGACGACGAGCGTGTCGATCGTGGAGAATACGTGGACGTATCATCAGTAGCTACTGCCAGTTGAAGTGTCGACATGCGAGCCCAGAATTCACGACGCTGGCGCTGCGCGGTTAAGTATTTTAGTTCCTGACAAATGAACCAACAGAGAAAAAAGTGAACGTGAACAATCCAGCCTCGACATGTTACGACAACAGCTGACACGGCAATTGACTTTACCTGCACGGACATCCCCCTGCGGATCCCACACTTGTTGAGGTTGTAGCAATTGAGTCGAGGCATGGCAGAGTGGTGCATTTGCATTGCGGAGACCATGTTCGATGCAACGAGTGGCGTGAGAGCGTTGACAGGGGAGAAGGCACTCTACAACGAGAGTAGACGTGTCTTGTTTTGACTCGGATAAATCGTGAATGCAACCTCTGAAGCTCGACAGCAAGCGCTACTGAGGGATGGTCGTAAGTCCCACTCGAGCAATTGAAGAAAAGGCGGCCACACGTTGATGTAGACGACAGACGAGCGATAGTGAGATCAAGTCGACGCAATGGATCACCATCGCGATCTTGTCAATCGCACCACTTCGCGCACCTTTCTGCGACTCCCGACGATTCAGATACCATCATGGTAGTAGCTAGCCATTACTTGAATGCGTCGATCAGTCTTCGCTCCCAGGTCGGACGCCGTCAGTCGTGACGTGGAAGACGCAGGTTGTTGCCGCTAAGTGCGGCGAGAAAACCACCTCGAGCTGTCGTTCCGTCGTGTCTGTATTCCTAGTAATCATCAGACTGCAAAAAAGACACGTGAACGACCGCTACATCAGTCACATACTGGCACGCTTCATCAAGCGCAAGAAATCAACGCGCATACCGCTGATTGATGCAGTGCGACCACGAGAGCCCGAGCGCGGGACGCAGACCGTTCCCATGTGTCGTCGAGCGAGCGTCAAAGTCGCCCGTAACTTGGTTCGTCAGCACGAACACGACGCCATACTGGTCGCTGAGGATGCGCATACAATTGGCCATATAGAACATCGTGCGGGCGCGTTCGGCGGCGTCCTAGCACACGCCACAACAAGTTCAACACCCTCGTTACCAGCCACATCAACCCCCAAGCACGACAGCCAAGAGAGACACAGCTGCGTGCCGAGACAACAGCAACTGCTGCAAAAGAGAGACGGACGCAGCCACTACCTTGACAGACGACGTGGACTCGAGACGAAAGACGGCAGCGACCGAGTCCAGTACAACGAGCTTGGTGTTGTGTTCTGCCAGCAGCGCTGGTAGTCTCGTCTGCTGTTTAATGACGTCCCAGTCATTGTGTATCCACATGGACGTATCAATAGATCATTGCAGCACAGGATGATTACACAGAGAGTCAGTTCGGTGAAGTGACGCAATCAAGTGCTGGAACGTCGTGTTTGCTTGTTGAGGTTCTTTTTTTGCACAAAAACGGACCAGAAGACGCAAAAGGTCGGTGACGGTGTAAAGTTGCTCGACGAAGATCCCGTCCAGGAAGTCGCTGGGTGCGACCGTTGGCGTTACTTCACGGCGTTTCCTTTCCCCCTTCCACCGAAAACAGCCGCTTTGTCATGTCGCCGTGCATAGACGTGCGCCAGCTCGTGCAGTCGTTTGATGGAGATGACGCCTTCCGTGCAAATGTAACACGCTGTGCCTTGCAGCCCCCCGAGGGAGCGCGGCAGACGGCACTGAAGTAACAACTGGAGACCCACCTGCGTCTTCCCAGCACCAGCTTCGCCGCAGACTTCAGTCAGCAAACCCGAGCGAAAGCCGCCGTCGAGCAGCGCGTCGATGGAGTCGCAGCCAGACGACAGCACGATGGACGTCACGTCGCGACTCGCCCATAGCGTCAGCGCCGAGGGTGCCGCCATGACGACGGTAGTGACTGGTCACTCAAGCAGAGGGGTCGGTATGTGTTTTGGCGTCCTCGGTATGCGTTTTGGAGTTGTCGGTATGTTGTTTCACAGGAGAAGAAGAGAGGTGGGTGTATAATGGGTGGCTGGTGTGAAACGCGTGTTGATGGTCGCTACGGCGATGTGTCATTTGCCAAGTGAACGATGGAGACGCAGAAGTAGGTTGAGTGTCGATACGGGATGTGTCGATACGGGATGTGTCGATACGGGATGTGTTTGTGTACTGGTTGGTACTGAAAGAAGGAGATGATAGATGATATCCTGAGGGTCTGATCACAAGTGATGGACAGCAGATTCAAGTCCAGTCCGCTGGCCTGATCCTTCTCGTAAGTTGTAGCATGTGTGAGCGCGAGACCCGTGAGTTGTCATTCGTGTGTGTCTTGTCCGCTCTTGCAGCCAAATCTGCCACAGTTGTTGCGTCCTCCTCCATGGCCAACCATACTGCTGTTGGCTGCATAAACTGAGCGGTTGTTCATGATAGGAACCCTTCGCAAACTACCACCGTGTTGCAAGGAGCCAATTACAACCCACATGCACCACCTTTTGTTTTGAGATTGCATCGCGTCCTAGCCTCATCAAAGTGGCTTCTTGTACAATACTTGTCATAGGTGGTGGCAGGTGATCGTAATACAACGGCTTGCATTACTGTGTATCGGTCATCCCGACGTCCCAAAGTTTGTCACTAGCTCACTACCATTCCAGGCATATCTCAGCCACGCGTTACTCGCTTGAAACCGCCTGCCACCGCAGTGGAATGATCGTGGCGCGAGATGCTGTACGCCTTCCATAAGCACTTACATCTCTGCTCATTTGAGTCGAATGAATGCGACTTGTGTAGTGGAGTACCTCGAACGAGGTCGTCATAGATACGCGACAGTACACTTTAACGATGCTGCAGAACTTCATCAAGTCTTTACTGTAACGACTCGCGCAATGGAAAGTCCCATTGATGCCCGTACTGGGTTAGCTATAACTCTCAATCGACCACTCTCAACTTCCGTCGCCTGTAGTGGCTCCGTATGCGCATGTACTGCCGCTGTGCAGCATGCAGCGAACCACGAGTACCTCACCTCGTGCAAACCGCTCGAGTGGATTTTCTCGACGCAAAGGGGCGACAGCGGCTCTTCCTCCCGACCGATCTACGCCAGCGCTCTCGGCCCAGACCTCCCCGAAATGCCGCGTAACGACAGCAATATCTCTGCCAAATTCGCTGCGACACACTTTCAGTCAAGTGCTCCATACGACTTGACAAACTACCAGCTTGGTGCAAAACGGCAGCAAATGTCAACCAATTTGTTTGCGCTCTAGCCTCCACGCATGCGCAAGTCTAACTTTACGATCGCCGACGTGCTGTCAACAGCAGGATGCTGCCTGTTTGTGCAGCCGTTTCTGCAATAGACCTCTTTGCCCTCGTCTTTCGTGAAGCGCAAAGTCAAGTCTCCACTGTTTCTCGGTCTCGTCTGCAGGGCGATCTTTCGCGGCTATCGCAGCTGTTTGCTAGCCCAACCATCTGTCGACTTGAAGACCTGCTGCAAGTGAAGGAGAGAAACCTTAGAAACACTACCATCTCTGTGCATACCCTACATGCACAAATGCCCGACCCAGCACGCTACACTTTCGATCCAGACATACGTCGTCCTGCCATTTGTCAACAAACAAACCCCCGACATGGCCACAACTTCCGATAACGCCTTGGATTAGGTGCCTGGGATATCTGGATTTCCACCGCTTGGGACACGCCAAACAACAGGCGACTCTTAAGCTGGCGCCAGCGTCCGTTCGTCGTCGACCAGCTGTTGCGTGCATGCCCGATGAAAAAAGCACGGTGCCCGAGAAGCGGGCATCGTTTCCTGCGCTAAAGGCTCGGGGCTACGCAATGCGTCCTTTTTCAACGTCCGTCGTGTTGTTGGTCGTATCACTTTTTTCCGGCTCGGCTTCCGCACGCACGCTCAATAAGGCAGTGCAACTATCCGTTAACCTCGCGATTCGAATGAATCTAGTGCTTTTTCTACAAGGCACATGCTCGCAGCATATCTCGGGACGCGCCTCAGACAAAAAAGCTTGCGTTTTATAACATCCACGACCACAACCTCTTGTCCCGTTCTCTCACTCTCCGCTGCTATCACTCAAGACAGACGTCCAAAAAAACAAGAGCAAAAACAAAAAAGCTTGATAGATAATGCATGTTGCCTCCCTTGCCGACCGACCCGCACCCCTCGCTAAAAAGCGTCCAAAAAACGACCGTCTGTCTCTGTTCAAACAGCTGGTACCAAAGCTAAAGCGACCGACCGACCCACCGACTGACCGACCGACCGACCGACCTCTCGGTCCCGTCGCTCCCTCCATCCCGACGCGCGCATTCTCTCTCGCTCTCGCTCGCTGCATTCCCTCGCTCTAGTGCCTCCTCATCGTCCCAACCCGGGACTGCGTCACTATTGATCGTCCCCTCCCTCGCTCAGATGCCTCCCACGTGGTCCGTCCTGACGCCCGCGCCGCTGCCGTCCCAAGCGCGTCAAGAGCAGCATCACCACCACCACCGCCGCAGCACCGCCACCGCCACTCGCAACGAGAAGCCCCGGACCGTCTTTGTCCGCATGCAGGACCGCGCCGGGACCGTCGCCATCGACGTGACGCCCGCGCTCGCGTCCCCCACTGCGCTGCTCGTGCGCTTCCATGAAGTGGCGTTTGGCAAGTCCTTTGCTGCGTTTGCTGCGAACTCCGAGCTCCTCACGCGTCGAGACGCGCACGAGACGCTCGTCACGAGTCTCGACGACGTGCGAGACGGAGACGTGCTCGTGTATACCCCGTGCGAGGAGCTCCGTACCCTCGTGGCCCAAGGCTGTGTAACCCCCGTGCTGGCCTCAGGTCCCTCGCTGCCGGTGCCGCACGTGAGTCCACCGCGCTCTCCCACAGGCTTGGGGCTGAAACGCAAGGGACGCGCCAAGTCCGTGACGAACAGTGTCGAGCGCGTGCATCGCTATGCCTCGGAGTTACGGCACATGGACGTGTCGGTGCAAGAGCGCGAACACATTGAAGAGATGCTCATTGTCGGGGACGCACAGGTCGTGGACGCCATGGAGCACTTTGTCGTGCACCGGAATTCCGCCTGCGTGCGGCGGGTGCTGCATGGACCTGCCGCTACGAAAAAGACTGTGACGGCACTCGAGCACTTGTCGCAGGACTTTTCGTCCTTGGACATGCGGTCCACGTCGTTGACGTCACCGGTTGCTGACTTTGACGACCCGTTCTTGATGGGTACACAAAAGGCGTTGCCCCGAGCAGCAGCAGCAGAAGAGGAGAAAAAGCAGCGGCCGCTGCTCATGCAGTTGGACGACTTTTCGACGACAAGAGCTCCTGAAATCGAGCGTCCATCGCTCGTGCTGAACGGCGACGTGCTGTCGAATGCACCTACATATCTGCAGCCGATCAAAGAAAAGGGGACACCGCCATCGGGACGCATGTCGCTGTCGCTATCGGACGATCTGGACCCGAGCATGAACACACAAACGCCGATGCAGCTTTTTTCGATTGAAAAGATGCTGGACGGCGTACCAGTTGCACGAGACTTTTATGACCAGTATACCGTGGGCGCGGTGCTGGGATCCGGCAAGTATTCAGTCGTCAAGCAGTGTACAAAGAAGCAGACGAGCGAGCAGTTTGCAGTGAAGATCATCGACAAGCGGCAGATGATTGAGATCCGGTTCCTCAAGCGTGAGCTGGAAATTATGTATGGTCTGCGGCATGACGGCGTCGTGCGACTGCTTGAGCTTTTCGAGAGCAACGACTGTGTATTTCTGGTCATGGAGATGTGCGGCCAGGAACTTTTCGAGTTTATCGATCGCAACGGACCACTGCCCGAGTCTATTACGCGTCCTCTTGTTCGCAAGCTCGTGCGCACAGTCGCGTATTTGCACGCAGAATGTATTGTGCATCGCGACATCAAGCCGGAGAACATCCTTCTACCTGCGTGCAGCCAAGACGTGAGCGACATTAAGCTTTCAGACTTTGGCATTGCGCGGAAACTTGAAGGCAACGGCCAGGACAATGTGCTTACTCCTCACGAGAGTTTATCGGAGGTAGCAAACCTTCTTGACGCGCCGGGCACAAACGCTTCGGGCTTGCCGTCTTCTACGGACATGGTGCGCAACCGAATGGCTCGAGCACACACCAAGTGCGGAACACGCGACTACATTGCGCCTGAAGTGATGAGTGGCAAGGGCTATGGCACGGAGGCCGATCTCTGGAGCGTGGGCGTGGTTACGTATGTGCTGGCAAGCGGATCAGCCCCTGTTTTCTTGCCCACGGTCGAAGGAGTGAAGAAGGTCTTTTTCTCGGACGAAGCGTGGAATGGTGCGTCTGACGACCTCAAGCACTTCATTGAAGCTCTACTTGTGCGTAACCCGGAGAAGCGCATCACAGCTGCTGACGCGTTGAAACACCCGTGGTTGATGGAGTAAAGCCAGCGACCCGAAGGGTTATCCTACAGAGTTCGTGAGCGGTTGACTGCGGCTCTGATGTTTTTTATGGGGAAGAGACGAATGTGTCGATAGCAATGCAGATGAGTGAGACAGCACAGTTCTTTAGCAGAGACGAAACCATACACTATGATGCGTCGAAGCTGTCGACTCGCGTTTTGCATTCACATAACCTAAGCAAGCGCCCGCATCCAAACCCACCTCTATCTTGAAAGCCACGCTCCTGAACATACCCTTCCCCATCTCCTCTGTCTCGGCAGCGATAGAAGTGGTCCGTCTTTATGCATCGCGTGAGCGTCTTGGTTTTCCAGCTACGCCATCGCTCTCTTTCTCTTCCTCGCTTACACGTCCTCCTCGTTATCATCTTCAAACTCCTGGATGACATCGAGAGGAGCTTGCACGAGCTCCACCATCGTCGGGTTGTCACACAAGTTAAAAAACTCGACGCTGCTACCGTCATCGCTCGGCGGGATCACGAGCACCTCATGCCCATCAGGGCCTTGGACAATGCCTTCACTAGAGTATGGCACATCTTGCGCCTTCAAGTATCCCTCCACCTCGTTCAATTTGTCCACCCAGAGGCTAATAAAGTTGGGATGGCCAAAGCGATTCCGCACCACGCGGTTCTTCTTCTTCGCCTCCTCTGCCTCCACCCGCGTCGGGTACTCCCAGTCCTGCACCTCTGCGTCCCGCACTCCGACAATACGGAATGGCCGCTGGACAGTGTCCTGTACTCAATCAATCAACCAATCAACCAGTCAGTCAGTCACCACATGTAGCCATGATCGTGGTGTCAAAAGAGCTCCTGGGAGACTAGTATGGGTACACTTTGGCGTCAAAAAAGATACATGACGCAGGGAACAACACGCTCTACCTCCTCGTCGCGTTCAAAGTGGATGGGACGCAGCACGGTCTGTGCCGGAGACGCCTTCTTCGCAAACGACCGCGTCGGCTGCAGACGAGCCAAGACGCCGCGAGAGCGAGTAGCTGCCCGGCCGAACATGCTCTTTGTCTAACCACTCGTTACGTAACCCAAATGTGTGACGTGTAGGCAGCAAAATTAACATGTAGTTTTCCGTCTCCGTGGTAATTTACCACAGCCTGTATGGTTACAAACGCCGCGGTAGACTACCGCGACAAACCCAGCGGGACACGGACGTGGGACAAAATCACCAAAACACACACACACACATACGACCACAGCAGCGAAAAACCCAATTTTCCGTATAGCGACACAAAACAGGACCCCTGTGCTCCAAAGGGTACGCTCGGGTTACACGCCCACACTTGATTACAATGGACGCTGGAACAGCGCCGCCGCTCGAGCAGCTCCGGACGACGTGCGAGACGCTCCGCGACGAGCTCACAGCGCTCTACCAGCAACGCGGTCGTCCCCCGTACGACGAGAAGTCGACGCAGCAGCGTCGTTGGCGCGTCGTCTTGCTCTTGAGCGCGATGAAGGCGGGGTTACGCGCCACGTTTTTGGCCGCCGACGCGCGTCGCACGGGCGTCCAGGAGCAAAAGGACGTGGCCGAGGCGCATCAGCTGCAGCTGCAGAATTTATGGTACGAGAAGGACCATCTGCTGCGGGAGATTGGGCGCTGTCGGGGGTTCCCGGCCAAGGAGATGGACAAGATCGAGTTTGTGGACGGCCAGGTCCCGGTCACGGCCGACGTGGATGGCCATCGCCAGCACTTGGAGCAGCTGACGCAGGAGCTGGGGTTACGAAAGAGGTGGGGCCGACTGCCTGTTTGTTTTGATCACGGACGTGCGGAACGTGCGCGTTGAGGGCGTAATTATTAGGTTTGGGAGGTAGAGGGGTACGGTCGACGAGAGGAGGGTACAGTGCAAGGAAGTAATTTATTTTGATGCGACGACAGGTAGCGGTCGTGTCGCTGCTGCTGCTCGACGGTAGTTTACGGTGCGAGCTGGTGGGAAGGAACAAGTGCTGACGAGAAAAAGTGTTTCTTGTTGTTGTGGTTGTTGTTGTTGTTGTTGTGGCTGCTGTCGCGATGCAGTCTTCAGGCCGAACTCAAGCAGCTGAAGCGCCAGGTTGGGAATGTGGAGACCATTACAAAGACGAAACGTGCGTTTCTGGACTCGTTGCCGGACCAATTGGCAGGTATTGAAGCTGCAACCACGGGGTTGCAGCAGTTTATGGGAAATCCAGTGACAGCGCAGCGAAAACGACGCGAGGCAGCAGCACTGGAGCTGGCGACGCCGTTGTATGCACTGTATTGTGAGCTCGAAGCCTATCAGATTGCTAGTGGAGATGCAGGGGAGTCGCTGAAGCTGGAGATTGTCGACGCATTTGGCGTGAAGGACCAGGGAACGTCTCGAAAGCGCGAGTTCCCTATCGCGTTTGATCGTCCAGATCGTTTAATCGTTGCTGGGTCTAAACGGCAGAAGGCAGCGTCGCGCTCACCATCTGCTGGTGCAAGCGGAGCTGTATTGCCCTCAGTTGGCAGTGGTGCGCCGTCTCGCTCGCCATCGATAAAGCGTGGAGCGGACGCTGCTGCTCAAGAGCCAGAGAAAGGGGAGATTGTAGTGGCTCTGCACACTGCTGAGAAGTTGCTGGAGTTGCGTCCTCATGCATCGCCGGTAGATGAAGAAGAGACGAAAGAAGTAGATGTCGATTCAAAGCACTCGTGCTTGATGCTGGAAGGTAGTGCCGATGCATCTACATCTGCAGAAAGTCTATGGACATCGCATGCGAAAGCCTTGCAGCTGACAGTAGCCGTCCAGGTCCCTATGGTTACCAACCAGAACGATGTTGATGCGACCAAGCACGTGACGCGTTCGTTCACCGTGATGTTCCAGTACTTTCCAGTGGCCAAGATTGTTACAGCGGAAGTCGTGAAAACTGCCGCTGCTAGCTTTAATCCAAGCGATCACCAGCACAACCTTCTAATGAACCTGTTCCCAGGCGACGATGGCCTGACTATGCCTCGTTTAGCCGTGAACTATGCTTTCGAAAATGACAGCGACAAACAAGCTGAAGTGGAGTTTCCAGTGGATGCTACCTGTCGACCGTACTTCTGGGCACAATGGATCTGCGGGCTGAATCCGATAAAGCGCCCGGGCCAATCCCAATCGGACAACGACGTCATAATGGAAGAGCGGCGTCGCAGGCCGGAGCCGTCGATACGCAATGTCATGAATCAGCTCGTCAAACGTTTCGTGGCGACGACGATGCTTAAGAAGCACTTGAACCTGCTTGCCAAGGCCACCGGCCGTTCAATCTCACCCGTCGATGATGGTGCGCGCTTCGTGCACCCGCTTGCGTGTCAGCTCTTCCCACGCGAGATCAAGACGCACTTGGAGGAGTGGAAAGAAGTTTCTACGCCCGTCCAAGACGTGTTTCAACTCTTCGGAGAGAGCGGGAGTCCATCCTCGCGTTCGCACGCGCGTTTCCATCTCTCGACGACTGGCTGCCGATACTTTCGCGCTTGCTTTAAGAATGGCGGAACTAAGGTATCGGCCATGGTTGAAATCTCGCCAGAGTACCCCGTGCGTGCGCCCCGCTTCATCTTCCAGCCACGCTCGTCGACGAGCAGCAAAGCGATTGACAAGGACCATCTTCCCGTGTACGAAAACCGACTGAAGGTGCGATGAACGTGCACGTTGTTTTGACTGGACGTGTGAGTTCGCAGCTGATTTCAGTCATGTGTTGCTGTGCTTGCAGGACATTGAGATTGAAGTGAACGCGTACTATGATGAGTTGATCCCTAAGGGCAGCGAACACTTTGTGCTTCTTCACCAACTTCGGAAGATTGAGCAGTGCTTTGACGTCTTGTGCAGCGCTGCAGCTAATGATGACGCCGACGTTTCGTTGTCATTTGTGCGCGAGCGCCGTGGCAAAGACCGTCGTCAAGCCATCGTAATGGACGCTGCAGCAAAGGAGCTGCGCCACCGATAGGTCCGAACCGGTGCAGTGGAGGAGACGTCGTAATGTGGATGGAACTATGCGGCAACTTGGGTGGGTGTAGCTCAAATCTTGCACTGTATCACTTGCAATTATCGCCTCACTGGAGAGAGAGAGAGAGAGAGGAAGGGAGATACATTGACGTCGGCATTCATTGTTTATGGGTTGTGTTCCAGGCACGTGCAGCAACGTCTGGAAGCTCTCGATGGTCTTCATATCGGTGACTTCGATCGAAAAGCTGGACAAAAGCGCCGAGACAAGGGACCAATACAAGCTCCAGATGCAGGCATGAAGAGTCCAGCACGACTTGGTGTGTAGCTTTTTCGAGTGTCACCCAGTTGAAGTTCTTTCCAATCTCGACGAGTCTCTTTTTGCATCCGCCTACATTTCAACTCGACCGCTTTTCGTCTGCTCTCGTATAGCCAGTGAGTCAGTCAGCCATCCCATGGAACGGATACTTTCGAAACTTGTCCGAATTGCGAGGAGCTCCTTCAACCAACTCAAGAGCTTTGAAAATGGGTAAACACCACTTACAACTCTTTGCCGGGCTGTCTCTGTGCTCGACAGGACTGGAACTTACGATCAAGGTGGTGGTGGTGGTGCTTGCTTGCTTGCTTCTCCTCTTCACGTGTGTGGTCTCGACCTACAAACGCACGAGCATTTCGACTATCTAGCGCTTGTCATTTTTTTTCATCCTTCCTAAAGTCCATGCCATCGCTTGACCCGATCCTTGTCAATTGTCGGCTTTGGTTCCAGGACCAAGTTCGCAAGATGGTGGTGGCTTGTGGCGGTTGTTTTGGTGACGACCTCAATGTGGAACTCACTACTCACGTCATTGCCACAGCCGCGGGGTCTCTGAAATACCGCGTACGTTCCGCCTCTTTTGCCTCATTTACCTCATCTGAGTGCAATGTTAATCAAGACGCTGTGACGATGTTGTGCGTGCAGGTCGCTGTGGCTCATGAGCTGCCTGTGGCGTCACCTCGTTGGGTCTTTGAGAGTTTTCGAGCTCAGAAGCTACTGGATGTGAAGGAGTTTCCGCTCAAAGTCCTCGAAGGGATGGGCGTGTGTGCATCTGGACTCACTGTTGAAGAAAAAGAGACGGTAGAGCACTTGGCTGCGACTCTTGGAGCTCACTACGGGGGACGACTGGAGCTGGGCTTGACGAGTGTACTCGTTGCAAAGGTGGGAGAGGTTGCAGAGAGGCGGTTGTGGAGAGAGAGAGAGAGAGAGATGACGGTAGCTCTGCTGTGTTCTTGTTGTTGTTGCTGTTGATTCATTCGTGTGCGGAAGCATCCAGAAGGAGCCAAGTATGAAGCGGCGGTCGACAATGACATTCCAGTCGTGCATCTTGGGTGGCTGTACGCATGCTTGGAACGCCAAATGCTCGTCGAGGAAGACGAGTTTGCCTTGTTACCGGAAGCAGCCGATCCAGACTTGCAGGTCGCGTGTGACTCTGTGGGTCAACGAAAACTTGCTCAGGAACTTGTGACAGCATTGCCTGAGTACATGAGAAGATATCGCCGTCGAGAGAAGGGAAGTAGCGACGATGCGACCGACAACGACGAAGATGATGAGCCATGGATGGATTTGTTTGACTGCTGTGTTGTGCACCTGCTGGGCTTTCCGCCACAGATGAGTACGCTGCTCCAGCAGCTGATTCGAGCTGGAATGGGGACAATTTATCATACCATGGGGACGCACCACATGACGCATGTGATCGTGAGCGCGTCGTTATCGGATAAGCAGACACTGGACACCATTCGGACTCGCGCGAGTACTGGCACAACCAGAAGCCAGGTGCACGTTGCGTCGGCTAGTTGGGTGCTTGATTGTGTCAAGTGTTTGGACTTGCAACCCGAGGAGCTCTACCCGGTTGAGTTTGACCTGAACATACCGGAGCAAGTGAGTGCTACAACGGTCCCCGCCGTCCGTGATAGCAATACCCTGCTCGACCACGACCAAGCACATGCCGGAGCAATAAAGGATGTGAGCTTGACTTCGATTACCGTGCCCGAAGAAGTATTGCAACGAGAAGATGGCAACAGTACCATGGCGAAAGATTCCAATGCAACGAAGGCTTGTTCCAAGACTAAGCAGGATGGCATCTTTGCAGGATACTCGTTCCTCCTGCTATGCCGTGACCCTGAAGACAAGCACATGATCGCGCCTATGCTCGCAAACATTCGAGGAGAGCGAGGGGGTGGCGAGGCAATCGCGATTGCTGCTATTGACTTTTCGCACGTAGATCCAGCACAGCTTCTGTTTGTTAGCCATGCGGTAGTGTGCACTGGCGTGATGCTGGATGAACAAGAGTCACTAGCGATTCAAGACCGTATCCACGAATCCCAGCGCCACTTCAATACACGGGATGCATTCGATGAGGATAACGTAAGAGACGTGGCCGATAGACCTCTGAAGCGAATGCGACACAACGCCTCGAAGCCACGGCAGCGTTTGTTACAATTCGTGTCGGACTTGTGGGTCAACTGCTCGCTAGCAGCTCGGACCAAGTTATCGTTTTCTTCGCACGAACTCTTTGGAACCAGTGCGAATTATCCACGGGCTTTGTTCCCTCATCCCGTTCCGTTACCAGGCTTTGAAGATGTGGTGGCTTCTACTTCAGTATATCGTGACGTTGAACAACTTGTGGTTGTTGAACTATTACGGATTGCTGGTGCCCGGGTTACGAGCACACTGAGCAAGCGTAACACCCATCTTGTGTGTCGAATGCCTTTTGGTATGAAATACGATAAGGCTATCAAGAGGGGATTGCACGTTGTAAGAGCGCGATGGGTGGTGGATAGTCTGGTTGCAGGCAAGCGTCTTCGCGAGGATGTATCGGACTTCTGCGTAATCGACGATGATGGAGAAACCAGCAGTTTTACCCACATTGCGAGCAGTGATACTGCCGACTTGGCATGTGCCTCAAGTCCATCTGCAAAGTGAGACGCAGAACGAAAAGCCTCTTGCAATGAACACGAAATGGGATCCATTGTCCAACTTGCCGACATCAACTCGTTGTGCTCAAATAAGCGGTTCGGCATCCCGATGAAGGATATCTCATGCGTGATATTCCGACAATTCTTTCAGTGCCGAATTAGGCTTTGATCCGCAGAAACAGCAATTGCTGCCATGCGGTCTAACGTTCCGAGCCAACAGTCCATCGAATAGTCTCGGTGCTTGTCGAAGTTGCACACGCGAGAAATTATGTGGATTGGGTTGTGTCGAAACGAGAAAGCTGAATCGGAGCAACTTGTGAATACAGGGACATATCGTTCACCAAAGCGGACGAGTCTTCGACTTGACATTTGCGTGTGTATGTGGTGTTGTCGCAGACGCTCATTTCTGTTGGGTTGGTTTGGCAGGCCAGACGGTACCTGAGTCAACATCGTTAGCTTGAAGAAAAAAGACGTACGAGTCATGGAGGCATGACGCTGGTGATGCATTTACGCAATACTCGCTGCACGAGCTCCATATGCACGCTTAGAAAGCTGCAATTTCTGTGTGCAAGTCAAGTTCGACATTGCCAGGTTGTAAGTCGCGGTGTTTGTAAACGTGTTCTCGATTCCCAGCAAGTAGTTGTGAGCATTGTCGTTGCTTGTCCCACCCTTTTACATGTCATAGCCGTACATCCTTTGTTTCAGTGGGGGTACAAAGACGTCCAGATCTTGGGCGAACTGACAATGTTCTCATAGCGACACATGGCACGTTCAGCAACACGAAGCTGATGCCTTGTGGATATCATTGTGCTCGGATGGCTGATGTGGGTACATGATGATACCTCTATACAGCACAGCTGATCCAACACCAGCGCTGCGGGCGTGCAGCACAAACCAGATGCCTTCTTTCGTAGTCGCTACATGGACTATCATTCGGTCCGCAGCTGTACTTTCCTCGGTCTGCATCGTTTTACGAACAGCTATAGGAGCTGCTAGCAACAGTTCCAGCGCTCACGCAAATCCACTACTTCGAGTTTGGAGGAGAAATCATCAGTAAGTCGGACAGTGTAGCTTCGTGCAACCTAAATGTTGGCCTCCTCGATGCAAAGGAGAACGCGACAAGAGAGACTGGCTGTTAGTCCTCCATCGTGATGGCCGATGCGGACACACTCATCTCGTCGTTCATTGCCGACCGCATCGACGACAGCACTTTTGTGTCAGTAAATGATGCCTCGTCAATGTAACTACAATGCCGGTCCAAGTTCAGCCGGCGACAGAAATGCAGACAATTCGTTGCGATACCCACTACGTCCTGAGACCGAGGTGCTCGAATGCATCAGCTTGTCGAACAAGCCTACCCAGTTTTGCACTTGATGGGAAAAGGCCACGATCACCGGACCCATGAGCGATCCTGCATCCCTGTATATCGCAAGGCGCTGCTTAAAGTTTCCACACCAGAATCTCGAATTTGAATCAACCACACAGAATGCGCGGCCGGAATAAAGCACACGACGTCACGGGGATCCAGTCCAGTAGAGCAGCCACACCAAAACGAGAACATACAGAAGCGGTCATTGATGGCCAACGTGCACGATTTTCCCACGCGATGTCTGAATGATAACGATACCTGATAGGGTACGACGGACAGCAACTGAGCAATCCTCAAAGTAGCCCATTAACATCGCACGTGCTGCGACATCCTTGTGAATTGCGCGCATCGGTGTTGGATGCGACGTCAAGCTCGTTAAGCTTGGGAGACGAGAAGGTGGAGCTAGAGGTATCTGCCAGGGTAGTAAGCGGCAAGCAGCCGATGACCATTGTCGTCGTCGCGACTTGACATTCATCGCGCTGACATGATTGGTGAAGGCAGTATCGCGAGCTGGACACGCCAGCACCAGGAGCTGCTGCAGCTGGATGCTTACAGCTGACTAAGCATGATGTGCTTTTGTCACACGGAAAAACGAGTAGCTCTCATTGCACTTGGTGCGGGAACGATAAACGGTAAGTTGTGTCGAAGCGGTGTAGCTATACCAAAGCGTCAGGGTTCTCCTCACAGAAGACAGAGTAAATGCGCTTCGAGAGAGCTCGCTGGATCCGAGCATCGCGCAGTTTGTCAGCAACAAGATCCTGTTTCTGTGCAAGCGTTGCGTTTGGGTCGTGATACGCTTGCATGAGACTGTCGAACGTAGGAAAATGATCCAGAAGACACTGCGCTTTATCCTCACTCACGCCGGGGATGACTTGGAGCATTCGCAGCCAAGCGTTGGCACATGCACTTGTAGTAGCCCCAGTACGGGTCACTCGAAATGAGTTATACCGAGGCACAGCATCGAGGTATTCCTCGGAAAGAGATGCACGCGATGATGCAACCACTAATTCACGAGTTAGCAGTGCAATGTAGTTCACCGTGTCATCGAGGTCGCACGTGAACTTTGTGTGTGCCCCCACGTCCATGAACAACTGAAAGGCCACCTCGTGCAAGTCCGCAAAAGTGATCATCGGAGAGCCATCACTCATAGTGGTGGTAGCCGAGCTAGATGCTTTCCTTCTCTTCCGCTGCTTTTTGTGTTCAATGAGCGCCCGGTCCATGCCTTCAACAATGACGAAAAAGTTGCTGGCCTTTTGCTGCTCTTTCGCTCGTTGAGACTGACATGTCGACTGTTGATTCTTCGGCACCAACGTTTGCAAATACCGCACAGCCGCAACCACTTCTTTGTAACTTTTCTGCTGTAAATCCTCGAGAAACACCTTCGCTTCATAGTATATCGCACATGAACAATGTAAAGTATCGCCATGTCGACACTCCCATCGAATCACTCCCGGCAAACTACAATCTAACGGCGTTGCAATTGTATACGGCACGGGTTTTCCATTGTACACGTGACTTTGTAAAGCGCGTCGAAAGCTCTGACCCACAACCGACGAATCCAGTGACTTTTCCATCTGCAGCACCACCATTCCCATTACCGTCCCAACATCAGCAGGACCATCACGACGTGCTCTACTTGCAGCTCTCGGCCGAGAAGACATGACTCGTGTTCGGTCCAATCCAGCTGATGATGCTGGTACTGTCCCATCTCCTGAACCTTCAGCAGCAGCAGCAGGAATAGTAGTAGTAGTGCTGTCACCGTCCATCGTTCTTGTAGCCAGTACAGCACTTGCCGTCTCTTGATCGGCCTCGTTCCGACTCGATTCACTGCTTTCTGTACTTGTCTCCACCCTCAATTGCTCGAGACTTCCTGACAATCTCCGCACTTGCCTCGCTCTTGCTTGTGCACTGTTTCTCTCCTGTCCACCGACTCGATGACGTCGTCCAAGAGGAGAAACTTCTGGTGAAGAGAGACACAAAATCTCGGGAGAAAGTGAGACGAGACAGGAACATGTACCTTCACCAGACGATAGCGACCCCAAAGACTCGGCGACTGGTGAGTATGAGGACAGGGTCTCGTCCTGTTGCTGCTCGTTTTTTTCGTTTTTTTCGTTTTTTTCGTTTTTTTCCTCTTCACGTGTTGCGTCGATCATTACTCGTGTAGAGTTGGTGTAGCCATTTGAGAGGCTTGATGAAGATGGCGACGTGGTCAAGTCAACAATCGAACGCCTGTTGCTCTGGTTTTTTTGGCGTTTTTTTGCGGGCGATGAGGTGTCTCGAGGTGGCGTCACGAGCTCAATGACGTTGACGGCAGCAGAGCTCGGCGATGGCTGATGAGTGTTGACGGGAATGCCGATCTCAACTAGCATCGCGTCCAGCAGCTTATCGTCGTCGTCGTCTTCGATAGAGTCGCGCACGCGGCGGCGGCGGCGGCCAGGCGTCACCATCGTTTGATTCAAAAGTGTGTCATGATATCGAGGTGTGCGTTTTGAATGGGGGTGTGAGTGAAGTGAATCAAACGTTTGTTTGTCTGTCTGTCGGTTTGAGCGTGCGATACTGAGCTCGAGACGGTCGTGGATACCGATATAAACCGGTGAAGATGCAGTTGTCGTGGAAGACGAATGCTGGTGTTGATTCGAAGAACTGCGGTCATTCTGATTACCGTATACGGCGTGCACCTGTTTTGTCGTAAGCTGTTGTTTCTCATGTCTTGCGTCCAAGACAAAAACCACTTTATGGTCGATTGGTACTGTGATTATTTAGGTGTCGGCTAACAGACGTTGTTTGCGTTTATAATCGGAATGCGCTCCTTTCATCTACGTTTGCGTGATCGATTTTTGTGTTGTAGAGTAGCAGTTGATACTACACCCTCGTCATCCTTTTTTGTAGATGCCTACGTGTCAATGCATTAGAATTTCATGATTGTACATCTTGACGCGCGTGTGATATAGGATCGTAATGTCAAGTAGTATTCAGATGATAGAGTGCAAGGCAATGCCACGTAGTTGACAATCTCATTCAGCGTCGTGCAAAGTCGGTAGTGTGCCGGTAGTAATTGCGTCCTTCTCCCATACCAAAGATTGTTTTTACTACTACCTTTGCGATATACGGCGACTTGTAGCTATCTGTGTGTAGGTGATAAATTGTTCCACATCCTTGGCCGTACTCAGTCCTGAGTTTCTACAATTGTTTCTGTCAAACTCTGCATAATTAGGATCACGAAACATCACTTCTTTCTGCTATTCCCATCTTCACATTCGATTCATCACCAGAAGAACACATCATTTACAGGGACTTTGTAAAATGCCCGGTATATTTTGCAAATGCCCGTATCCGGACGATTACGTAGTAAGTCTCTTGTTCGGATGAATGCACCCCTCTCTACTCGCGGATCAGGTATTAGGATTTGAACCTTCTTCTTTCCTTGGCAAAGGGCTGCCACGAGCTTGGTGTGTTAATGTTTCGTCGCAGCCATAATAGCCAAATTGGCTCAATAAGTTGTAGCCGTACCGGGAAATGCTAATGGGCAGACCATCTCGCGTCACGGCTGCTAAAGAACTACGACCACAATAAAGCACTTGAGTACTTTTGACATCAGTGCACAAACCTAGTGAGGCCGCACACTTCAGCCAAATGTAAACCGCGCAAATAGTACAGGTCACATGGACAAGGAGGGATTATGGGTAGCTCTTGAGTATTTCAACGTGAACACGCTCGCTGATGTGCTTTGTAGACCTTGGAATCGCATGCGGTGTTTGCTTAATATAACACGGGCATCACTCAAACATCGTCACGGGTTTTGTAATGAACAATGTCCCGAGGCGATGATCCTTAACGTTAGTTTTACTCGTTTTTAACAGTGTGATTTGTGGTCGAGAATGACGCAAGGCTTTCACTGCTATTGTTAGAGCCTCTGTACTTGGTGAGCGGCTTGCACATTTTAATATAGATAACACGCAGTACATTGTACTTTCCCGTTACATTTCAATACTAAAATCACAAACCTTTTTTGGCTCGCAAACAATGATAGGAAATATACTTTCATTTTGCCCTGTTCAAAACCGATACAAAAGTCTTCCAATTTGGCTTGAAAAACGATAGCAGCGACACTCAGCACATTTGCAAGCAAACACAACCATCTGAAGCTCATGCTGAAGAGACGCCGGATACACTTAGATTAAGCCTCATTAGACCGATTGATCGATTCGCGAACTTTTTCTCTGTTAATATCAGCGAAAGTAATCAAGTTAGTCGCACAGCCTTTTTTGCTTGACTATTTATGTGCGCTTCTTGTCTTATTTTGAAGTGTATTACGATAGCACAGTATGCATATCGTAGTCATTATGATATTGTATAGTTTTCTTGTTATTTTGTTTGTACTGTTTTCACTATCATTTGGTAGTGTATCATTTTCGGTAAGTAGTTTGTGTGTTGGGGGGGGGGTCTGTTCATTTCTGAACAAATTAAAAGAGCGACTAATTTTCAGCAGATCGTAGTGCAACTAAACCATGATGCTTACAGCAACAACACCCCGGTTCAGTAGTCAAGATGTCTACAAGGGTTTATCTTTACTAAAATTAAAAAATTAAAAATCAGCCTTCTCTCCACTCTTCCATTGACCGTAATTAGTGCGGACCACACTATCGATGAATCCGCACGAATTGTGGGCTTTGAGATTTAGTATGGACCGCACTATTTTTGAATGTGGAGAATAAGTGCGAATGCATAATAACCTAAACTGCGCAATATGTAACCATTCACTTGGCTACACAATTCAAAGCCCAGTTGAAACGAGAGTGTCATCGTAGTGGATGCGATATTTGTCAATAGCTTGTTGCAGTTCCGGCATCAATTGCGATTCGTGCCATCGACCACTGACATCAAGTTCTATGCCACAACAAATCATAGACTTACGAGCGTATGTCAAGCCGCAAATGTCGCCCATCCCATTCACGGCGCGTACGGCTATGCAGGTGAGTTCCAAGAAGAAGCGTTTTCCCAAGACTTCAGCTTTCCCGAATATGACCCGTTTACACACGGTGTCTGACAAGTCGTCTTTTGATCATGCGCATCTCCTCGACCTTCCACAATCGGGTCTATTTGGCCTCGATTTTTGAGATGAAGAAAGAGCCAGCAGGCTGAATAAGATCGGTCGCGCAGGGTGAAAAATAGCTTAGCTCAGTGTTGGTCTTCAAGTGAATATCACGTAATTATGGACTGTCGTTGTGGCCGGCACAGTTGTCCATATATGTAGAAGTCCATTGTCCACCACTATCTCTCTTGAATGCTTGTGGGTCGCCAACCATTGAGGAAATGCCTATGATTGTGTACAATTAAATAAATAGGTAGAACTATCGATAATTCATGATGCATGAGATACCACCCTTTTTACCATTCATCTTTTAGGCCCGGATCGGTATGAAGCACCAGGTACATCGTCTGGAAGACCATTTATATCTTACGATCGGTTTGGATTCTCGATAATCATCATGGGTGCACCAATTCGCGCACTCGAACTGCCTGTGGCATAGACCATCATGGTCATCCCGATACCACCCGACACAACATCGGCATATTTGACCCCTGTATCACCACGAAAACCAAGTGTACGGTAGTTGTCGCAGTTAATCACGAAATCCGTTTCGTCCATTTTACAAATCAGGTCCTCGTTCAGGTCTTCCGACTTAACCCCTGGCGTAAATCGCCCGTATAGTACGCAATCGTTTTCTCGATGTTCCTGCTGGTCATGCACCTCCAATAGCAGAAAACAAAGTCAAGCAGCAAAAGTTATGTATGTACAAGAGTAAATGTATGATATACCATGAGCTGCTGAACCCAACCGTGTCTTGATTTTGTCGACGATAGTTTTGTCGTCGAATGGATCAATGAAGTTTAAATTGAATAATAGCGCATCGTTCATGACAGTATGAACAAGTCGATCGATTAGGGATGGAGATAACTTGACTCCATCGGCCTCAAGCCGCATGAATTCGGACTGCAACTCGACGTACAGTTATGATACCCATTCATACTGGCGCCGCCCTCTACTAGCAACAGCCTTGAGTTTGAACCTCTTTCGAGCTGATGTCACAACTACTTATGTCAACTTTCTATTTGTACTGTCATATTCACGAGCTTTATCGCGCATCTTCCATCACCTTGAAGCTTTGATACAATTAGCCTGCATACAGTCAATCTCAATAAAACTGTTTCTAGAAGCTCATTTTAACGTGCATTATCGTTTACGAGGAAATGTGGTGATCGCTTTATGGATCAAGCCTAGTTCATCATATTGGCCTGCATCATCAGTTATCATCCGATTGATCACACTGAGCCGCGACGTTATCGATACAACCGTTTGGAGCTTGCGCTTGCGTTTTTTGACGAGTTGATCATCGTAATCGTGATTCTCATCTTCAATCTTGTCTTCTCCATCTCCTACATCTTCTTCGGCATCAAGTCCCTCGTCATCTACATCTCCTGATAAGACATTGGCTCCAGCATTACGCAAAAAAGCACCGATAGTCGGTGATGGAGAGCTCGACGCCTCGACACTGATTAAAACCACTACAAAAGCACTAACACAGTCAGAATTAGAATGGGAATGACGTCTTGTTACTGTACTGTACATTGATTATGAGTTTTGCAAATTCCGTGTGGAGTCCGCACTACTTCTCGACCTACCGATTCACGACTCTCTCAGTGCATATATTAACGCAGACCGCACTAATTCTGAACACTGAGTCCCAGTCCACACATACTTCGGTCATTAGTGTAGAGACGAGAATGAATGGTTTAATGAGATTTCCACTGTCCGATTATTTTGTGTAGAAAAACCACAGTTAAGGTTACGGGATTAAAATGATCAGTGAATAAGAAGATTCGGCTGATAATTTCTCTATTCCGACGTTGTGAGATGACTTGGGAGATGAAGAATTAGTGGGTGACTCTGTCGCACATGAAATGCTACTATTTTTAATGTGGTTATACCATTTTCCTTGATGTAGCAGCTGGTTGGGCTTGCGGTCGCTCAGGTTCTGGATAAAAACCAGTTTTTACATAGGCAAGGTACGTGAAAAATTCTTCAGGCGGAATTTTAACTGGGCCGCCAATATGTTACAGTATATTTCAGGCGTCCTTAGGTAAGGTATGTGAGAACAGAAATATCATGTAGAACAAAATGGTAAAATCTCGATTAGTAGTTGTTTGCAGTATGAATGCAAAACCGTAAAAGCGTGAGTTATTGATCCTTAAGTTATATGAAACTTTAATTTAGAGGTGCGAAATATGATTGCAGAAATAATTGGCTTGTGGCAGCCAACCGTCTATAGCGACGTTGCTTTTCGATTTTTCGATGTCGGCTCTTCCTACCATGCAAATTAGATCTCGCCATTTTTTCCTATTGTTTAACCACTCATAGGGAATTTGAGCTGGGTTTAGACCGTCG